CAAGCAAAAATCTGGTGTTTACAGTCTCTGATGGAAACTCTTCCTCAGATGACTCTGCAGGGTCAGCACAAGAAGGACTATCCTCTCCCGCTTCTTAAAAGATTCTTCTGCTAGTTCTTAGGGGGAAGTTTTAGATAACTGTTCTCTGTAGGTAGTCTTAGTTAGTCTCTTGTAGTCGCAGTAGTTTAGGGGGAAGTTGTTTATTTCAAAGGAGTTGGATCCTTTCTAGTTGCTGCTATCGTGTAACCATCCTTTATTTATTAAGACATTGTAGTTTCTGTTTCTTGTGGATTGGTTTCTTGCTGGCCTTCTTTTGTTGTGTTTATTTTCAGGTCCTCTCCAGACTTCTCGGACGAAGGGGGAAATTGATGAAGAAAACGCGATTTAAATCTTCCTGAAACGACGACGTTTTCAAGAAGCCACACGACGACGTCTTGGACTGGCTGCACGTAAACCTCACACGACATCGTCTTGGATTGCAAACGTTCTCTTCAGCATCGTCCTTCTAAGTCTTCATTTCTGATCAAAAGATCGATCTACTCAACCCTAGCCTCCCACCTACGAGGAGCGGACAGAAACCTTGAGCCAGTTCGTCGGTGATGAAGCACAGACATCACCGACAATCCTCTAAAGGAATGATGAAGACAAATCAGGCGCAAGTCTCACACAACGGTCATAGAAGATTTCTAGGTATAAATAGATTACTATCTGATTGAATTAGGTGTGTGTGTGATAGCGAGTGTTCTTCGTCTATCTTGAGAGAGTGTGTTATTTCTCTTCAGTAGCTAGATTCACAGTGGTTGTCCTGGGTGATCTAAGCTTGGGAAGAGAGTCTCTGTTTGTGTGTTTATCAAAGTGTCAACCCTGTTGGCTTGACACTGAGTGATTTAGGGATTTCTTCGTGTATTTTGGTTTCAATCAATAAAGTCAATTTGTTTCTTGTATTCCAGCCAAACACTTGGGAGTTTAAAAATCAACAGGCGGGAGACGAGGCGCTCGAGGATGAGGTTCAAGTGTTTGGGCAGAGGGTTGAAGTTGAACTCCAGCATCGTGTGGAATGTTACCAGAACCTTGTCCGGTAAATTGGACTCTCCATAGATCTTGATTAGAGAAGAGAAGAGAGCCGGCGTTACTGGGTAGCGCTTGGATTTCAGATCGCCGACGAGAGCGTCGATGAGGGAGATGTGCTTGGACTCCCCGAGCTTGCGGATGAGAACGAGGTAGGAAGGGTAAGAGTGCTGGAAATTGGGCTGGAGAGAGGCGTAATCGAAGATCTCTTTGGCGAGGAGAGGATCCGAATGGGAAGCACGACGGTGGACAGTTGCGGTGAACCAAACCCTAAAATTTGGGGATTTTTTTTGTATTCGACGGTGGACAGCGGCCGAACTCACAAAATCCCCAAGATGCCAATCCATTCTCACAAAGTCCCCTCCTCCGATGCATTCTCACATCCTCCATTCATTGCTTAAAGAACCCATCAAAGCAAAGAAACGAAAACGATATCAGAATTGGAGAAGAAGAATGGGAGTAGGTGATGCTCGTTTGAATGGGAGTAGGTGATGCTCGTTGTCGGCCTCCTCGCGATTCAAGATGGCGACGAACTCGGTGATGCTTGTTGCTCTTTGAAATCTCCCCTGCTCCAGATTCGTCTTCTTCCGACGCCAGTATCTAGTCGCCGCCGTCCTCTGCAGCACCGGCAGGCTCGGCGTCGTGGTAGCTTCCGGCGCCAATCGCGCGCTCGACCCTCAGGACATTGAATTGCTGGCAGAGAAGTTTGCTATTTGAATTACTCTTCTTGAGGGCAGTCTTGCCGGTAGTTGTTGCTGGGAGGATTAGAGGAGCTTTGGGTTTGATTGGGTTCTAGGGGGAAGAGGGGAGGCCGGTGGATTAGACCCTCCCGGCGCTGCAGAGGGTCGCTCTTCTCCGCTGTTTCCCCTGCTTTTTCTTCGAGATCTAGGGATTTCCTTTGCTTGTTTTTTATTTTAATTTTTAGAAATAATATTAATTAATTGAATTTACATTTTTTAATTTTTATAATAATATATTATTATTTTTATTTGATTTTTAATTAAAAATATGAGGTGTCATTGACGTGGCATCTACGTGGCTGCCACGTCAACAAAAGTCAATGTTAATGTTGACTTTCGTTTGGTCAACCGTTATCTATAACGGTCAACGAAATCGTCAGGATATAAATGACACATAACTATCATACGTTGTGACACAATTGTCATATCGAATACTTTAGGACACAAATGACACAAAGTTAATAGTTCGGATTTCCCAGTGGTATTAGCCCTACTATTAAATAGCATGATAGAAAACTTAAAAATTATGAACTAAATAATATAATATGTTAGCTGGAGACTGCAGTCGATCTCGCAAGGTAATTGATGATCCTCCCTCGAGTAGAGCTTGTGAGCTCATTAATGAGCCAAACTCGAGTCATGCTAGAGTCAAACACAAGCCAAAGTCTTAGTAAACAATTCGAGCTCGTACTTGACTTGTTGATTAACAAGCCGAAGCCCAAATTAGGTCAACAACTCTTCTCGACTGGGCTTGACTTATTTACATACCTAGTTATTGCGGACAATGAGTTTTTCTAGTATTGTTGATTTTCAATTTGTGGATTCCATATTCGAATTTATTGGTGAACTTACCCTTTCGTATAGACCTTAGTTGGTAGCATGTAAAAAGAAGAAGAAAAATGTAGGATCATCCATTCATCATGAGAGGTGGCAATTGGATTAGATCAATGGATTGGTTGATTGGATTGGTGTATCTATGGATCAAGTGGATTGGATCAAATAGATTGATGGAATGATCGATGAATCCAAATGACATCCAAGCTTTGGACTAATATGTAAATTTTAAAAAGTTTGGATACTAAAATGTCATAATAAAAAAGTTTAGGTACCAAAAGATAATTTTCCAATGATATTTTTCGTATAAAAATATTTTGGGTACCGAAGTGTAAAATATAAAATTAATAGATACTAAACTGTAATTTTGAAATTTGAATCAAATAGATTGGATTTAAATAAATTGGATTAGTTGAATGTGGATGAATTGGATTGGATTGAAAATTGTCACCTCTAATCGCGAGTCTCATGAGTACCAAAGACAACTGGAAAATGGTTTTTCACTTTGATTTGAGAGGTTTAAGACTTTAAGCCACTAATTTAGGGATTCACGGCATAGTCAAGAATCTCATCATTATTATTAAAATTGTTCAGGAAGAATTGTCTCACATGGACATCCAATTTTCTACAAGTTCACACGTCAACTAGCAGATTAATGCTCTGTCAATCATCCTTAATCAAAAATTCAAAATTTAAAAACATACATAAAATGTTATGGCAATTGGAAAGCTATTGGATCCACTAAATAGACCTTTTTCTCCATATTTCTTTAATGCCAAGATGTGTTCAACAAGCCCAAACCCTAGACTAGAGGTCTATTTTAGGTTGATAATGAGCTTTTTATTAAAAAAAAACAAACAAACTAGTGCTTTCGAGGGTTTAAAAACTAGTTAACGACCTGGGCCTTTACAGGTGGAACCCGCTGCCCAAATTAAGGTGATGACTGATAACTATCGATGCATATTTATGGTACTATTATCTTGCTCTTTAGTATACCCACTTTCTTCTTTCCTTGACAAATAGAAAAGTAGGGTAAATTAGTGCAAGACTCATGAAGTTTTGTTAGTTACATCATTTAGTCTCCACTCTCTCCATTTTTTTATAAAATATCACTTTATAGCATGGTCCATGAAACCGTACCGGATATCGTACCGGAAAAGTCAGCAATATGATATTTTATGATAAAATCGTGATTTAACCGTAGTTCAATCGTTAGATCGTTAAATACCGCCTACCGGTTTAGCCTCCTATACTGGTATTTCGTGGTAGAACCACCGGTACGGTACAGTTTAATGGACCATGCTTTATAGTTCAATTGTTGGTTATTAATTAAAGAAGACACATTACTCAATCACCTATGAATGTGTGACTGAAATAGCAAATTCATACCTAAACTAAATCTGTGACATAGTTGAAGCAAATGAATTACTTGGATGTAGGAATTATCGCTTGAAGCACAAAAGAAAAGGGATCTAGCAAACACGAAGGCCAGCTCTAGCATGTGCGCAATAAGATTTTAATAAAGACTTTAGCCATCTTTGTATCATCATCATATTCTTCATCAAAGACATGAGTATTGTCTAGTTTTGTGGCTCATGTCTACATCCTTGGGATGAAAATATTGTCTCTCTTTTTTCATTCGCTCATGTTCCTTCTATGTGATTGTCGTGATTTCATCCTTCTACAAAATTCCTCTGGCTAGGAAACGAACGTGTCTTCTAAACTTCGGAAAAGTGTAAAGTACAACACTGACTCTATGTATTGTTGTATTAGTTGGGTTTCAAAAAAAATGTTGTTGATGACTGTGTAAAGGGGATTAAAATACAAAAGAGCTTATCTATCTGGCTACTGAGTTTATGGAATGGAGTTGGTTAAGACAACACATTATTATTTACAATTTGAACTGGTTTAACTTTAAAAAAAAATTCCCCAATAGATTACTTGCATTACCGAGACAAAAGATATAGAGTTTACAGTACAACATTCGCCCAAGCGCGAAAATCAAACCCCGACGATAGCGTAAGACACAAGAAGAGGGCTTTTTTAGCCACCAAATGGACCACCCGATTGTTATTCCTACCTATAAACCGGACTGAAAAAACGTTAAAGATCCGCCTCTATCTATTAATCTCTTTGAGTAAAACACCACCCCTTAGCGTCGGTCAGAACCTCGTGTCGCAACTTTAAACAAAAACATAAGATGGACAATATGGAAAATAAAAGGTTTAGGTACCATATGGTAATTACAACTGAAAAAAAGGAAAACAATTTTTACGGAGTAATAGTATTTTCTTTTTCTTGCACTTTTGGTGTTCTGTTCACACCTTTAGCCTTTTCACTCCAGCATTCCATTATTCATTCCATTACGGCTCTCCCTTCCCCTTTCCCTTTCCTGCAATTACTGCTGCCTGCTCGCAAACTTCCCCTAACATGCTCCTCGCCGCGTTTCCCGTTCTGGTTGCTCCCGTATTGGTCTTCTTCTGAGCTCCAGCTTCCTTCTTCTTCTTCTTTCTTGAGCCGCCGCAAAAATCATGGCGACTCTGGAGGACATTGGCGTCTCTGCCGCCATTAACATCCTCTCAGCTTTCGCCTTCCTCCTGGCTTTCGCCTTCCTCAGAATTCAGCCCATCAACGACCGCGTCTACTTCCCCAAATGGTACCTCGCCGGCGCCAGAACCGGCAGCCCCGGCTCCGCTGGCCGGGGAGTCATCGGAAAGTTTGTCAACCTCAATTTCGCTACTTACTTCACTTTCCTCAACTGGATGCCTCAGGCCCTGAAGATGAGCGAAGCCGAGATTATCAACCACGCCGGCCTCGACTCCGCCGCTTTCCTCCGGATTTACATTCTTGGGTCCGCTCCTGTTTCACTGCAATTCTGTCAATTTTTTTACTTTTCGCTGTCAATTTTCTTTTGCTGTTGCTTTCTATGTTTATCTTTTGCGTTTGTATTCTTTCTGTTGGCCGTCAATTTTTCCCCACTGTTTGTTTCTTCACGTCCGTTAGCTTACTTTAGTAACAAAGGGCTACAAGTCTGAAAGGAAACACCTCCAATGGTTTGATTCTCTTCTAGCTTAGTGAGAATTTTTTTAGCTGTAGTGTTGACTGTACTTGGACTGTATTTCTATGGCGCCTGACTTCTGAGACGGCTTCCAGTTCTAATAAGGGCCTAAACTAGGAGGAAAGTTGCAGACATTTTGTTCAATTTCACCATTTATGAAATTCTGTTGACCTTGTTCAGTTGTTCCTTTGGGAGGATTGAACTGATGGGAAGCTTCTTGTGGAGTTCAGCCCTGCTTACCTTTTTCCCATTCATGTGGCAGGCTAAATATCTTTGTACCAGTGACACTATTGGCACTCCTGATTCTTATTCCAGTCAATGTATCAAGTGGGACACTGTTCTTTCTGCGGAAAGATTTAGTTGTGAGCGACATTGACAAGCTATCGATATCGAATGTGCGTCCAAAATCCAACAGGTAAAGATGCAATTTCACTTTAACTATAAGTGGGTTTAAACAGATACAAACAGTGAGATTAATAGATAGTGAAACAGTGAAGTCCATTCCTTTTTTCATCACAGCTCTTTACTACCCTCAATTATGCTCGCGCGTTACAGAATGTTTGAACATCTCTTGTTTTGAATTTCAGATTTTTTGTCCACATAGGCTTGCTGTATGCTATCACATTTTGGACATGTTGTATGCTGTACAAGGAATACAGCTACGTAGCATCAATGAGGCTGAGATTCTTGGCCTCGCAGCAGAGGCGTGCTGAGCAGTTCACTGTGAGTTATCACTTCTTTAGCCTGCCACAGTTCATAGAAGATGAAACATTTATCTACTCTCTTGACTTTTCAGAGAGCTGGGAGGGGAGGGTATCTAGTTAAGCATAGTGCATCATCTTTTCTCCTATTGTATGCAGGTGGTTGTCAGAAATGTTCCACGTGCTTCTGGTAAGTCAACGTCGGACTCAGTGGATCACTTTTTCCAGAAAAACCACCCTGATACTTACCTTTGTCACCAGGTGAACTAGTTTTGTTGTGATACTCTCTTCTTTCCTTTGTTGTTTTCCTTCAGAATAAGTTGGTTGAATATGCAACATGGTTGGAAGAGAAGTAACTTCATTATGCCCTAACCCGTGTCATATTCTATGTTCTGAAGCATACTGTGGCTTTTTCTTTAGGCTGTCTATAATGCAAATAAGTTTGCTAAACTCGTAAGGAAAAGAGATAGGCTGCAGAACTGGCTGGACTACAATCAGCTTAAGTATGAAAGGAATCCTGAGAAGAGGCCAACCCGAAAGGTAACTTCTTTGACACTTAGAGGGCAATCATGAATTGTTTCCGGTGTGCTCCTTCCATGAAGAAAAGCATGAGCAAACTGAAAATTTATTGCTTATTGAGTGCTTAAATGGTCTTCAGCCTGCATAAGTGACAATACTCCTTGTGTGTTTGGGGATCTCACTTACACTTGGTATGGCGATTTCTGATTAGATCTTCTTTTCGCCTTCAGACAGGATTTTTGGGCCTTTGGGGCAAACAGGTTGACTCCATTGAATATTACAAGCATCAGATAAATGTTCTTGAAAAAAGAGTAAGTAGTGAAAAATGATTCATATGTGCTGACCTGTATCAACTTTTACTACTCTCTTAGTCAATATGGCAGATGGAGACTTGAACTGTTCTTAAAGTTTTTTGCTTGCTTAAGTGAGCCTCGTTTTTACCGTCCTGTTTTTCAGATGGCTCTGGAGCGCCAGAAGATTCTCAAAGACTCGAAATCAATATTGCCAGTTGCCTTTGTTTCATTCAAGTCACGTTGGGGGGCTGCTGTTTGTGCTCAGACACAGCAAAGCAGGAACCCTACTTTATGGTTGACTAATTGGGCTCCAGAACCACGAGATATTTACTGGCGTAACTTGGCCATACCATTTGTTTCATTGACTATCCGGAAGCTTATAATATCGGTATCTGTTTTCGCATTGGTTTTCTTCTACATGATACCCATTGCTTTCGTGCAATCTCTTGCAAATTTGGAGGGCCTTGAGAGGGTTGCTCCATTTCTCAGGCCAGTAATAGAATTGTAAGTCAACCCCATCTTTCCTTTATCATACGTGGTATGTTGTTCTCTTAACTCGAAATGGTTGCTATTTTGCTGGCACACTAATCTTAGTACTGTTTTCCAGACATATCATCAAGTCATTCCTTCAAGGTTTTCTTCCCGGGCTGGCTCTAAAGGTCTTCTTGTACATTCTGCCAGCAATTCTAATGATAATGTCCAAAATCGAAGGTTTCATCTCTGTATCAAGTCTTGAACGGAGATCAGCAGCAAAGTATTATTATTTCATCTTGGTGAATGTATTCCTAGGAAGCATAATTACTGGAACTGCTTTTCAGCAGTTGGATTCTTTCCTTCACCAGTCACCAACAGAGTAATACTTCATTTCCTTCGGCTTGAACTCTCTGGTTTATTGGAGATAGTAAATTCAAGTAAAAACTATCACTTTTTTTGTCAACCTTTTACCTGCTTTATTATTGGAAATAAGAACAACCTTTTATTATTACTCAGGATCCCGAGAACTATTGGAGTTTCCATCCCGATGAAGGCTACCTTTTTCATCACATACATCATGGTCGATGGCTGGGCTGGAGTTGCTGCTGAGATTCTCAGATTGAAGCCACTGGTGATATTTCATCTGAAGAACCTGTTTCTGGTTAAGACTGAAAGGGACAGAGCGAAGGCAATGGATCCTGGCAGCGTAGCGTTCGCTGAGACTCTGCCTAGCCTTCAATTATACTTCCTGTTGGGGCTTGTATATGCAGTTGTCACCCCTGTCTTGCTCCCCTTTATACTCGTGTTCTTTGCCTTTGCATTCTTGGTTTACCGTCACCAGGTCAGTTCACTCTGCTTCTTCTTCTTAGTGCTGAACATTTTGTGATGTGTTCTTCACGCATAGTCTGCCACTAAAGAACATGAAATCTGATACGTATTGCAAATCATGAACTTGTGGTTGGTGATGGTGCAGATTATCAATGTGTACAATCAACGGTACGAGAGTGCTGCAGCATTCTGGCCGCATGTTCACAGCCGGATAATTGCAAGCCTGCTGATAGCTCAACTCCTGTTAATGGGCTTGCTCGGCACCAAGAAGGCTGCCAATTCCACTCCTTTACTAGCCATCTTGCCCATATTGACATTCTACTTCCACCACTACTGCAAGCATCGATTCGAACCAGCATTCAGAAAATACCCACTTGAGGCAAGTGAATAACGTAGATACTATCCGACTCTCCCTCTCCTTATTCTTTGTTCTTCAATTGCTGATGGGCTTGCTTGCTTTTATTTCTTATTCAGGAGGCCATGGCGAAGGACCTTGCGGAAACTACTGCAGACTCTGACCAAAACTTAAAAGCATACCTGTCCGATGCTTTCCTACACCCGATTTTCCATTCATTCGAGGAACAAGAGTTGGTTGAAGTGAGAGTAGACAAACAACAGAGACAGGCCACTAATGCCCAGATCAGTGAAGTCAGCCCTCCATCGCCGCTGCAACCAGTTCACCAGTCTTCTTCTTCCCCGCCACCACAACATGAAGAACATGAAGATATCTATTATCAACCTTCCAATCCTCAGTATCAATATGATCCTTCAGTTCCATCTCATTACACCTATCAGCCACCCCATTTCCCCCATTACGCCTATCATTATCAAGATCAACCTTGATCAATAAAAGCTTATCGGTCATCGATCAGCTTCGTAGATAAAGAATCGCTAATTGTCTCGACTCTTTCTTCCCCCCAACCTCAACCCTCTTCAGTTTGATTATCTCCTAGAGTTATGAAGTATGTCTGCAGAAGAAAATTTCAGCATGGAAGATGGTTTTCTCTGCATAGTAAAGAAGCCCTATTATTCCATGGTGGTTTTCAAGTGTTCCATATGTAATCTGCAACTCTGCATACAAACTTATTCAGCCTCGGTTATTGCTTTTGGCATTGTTGGTAGTTAAGCTAAAATCGTCAGCCAGTTCTCTTCTGTTCTGTATGTTCTCTTCTGTACATATATCGTGAGTTCTGATTATCGTTGCTAAAAGTTTGCTTAACATCTTAATTTCATTGAGAATTCATGGAACAACAGTGGGGCAATCGATACCAAATCCGAAACTCAGACGAAGATAACTAAAACCAGAACAGGAAAAGGATATGCTATCGTGATACGTACAAGCTTTCTATCCAAGTGAAGAAGACGACGCCACAGAAAACATACGAACTTGGCAAACTCACCGAACACTTGGCGCCTGGTTTGTCTAAAAATTGAAGCCACCTGCCCTCCATTGTCCCGATTAGGTGTTAAAAAATGGAGGCCATGCATCCATGCAAAGTGAAGAATGGCGGAAGAAACCTGTCCACCTCATTTCTTATGTGGCGATCCTTCAATGCCTTCCTTTCTCCTATAAAATACCCCAAACACCTGCAAATGTCAACAACACTGCTCACTTGATACTTCCACAACATCATCATGGCGAGGTCTAGCTCTTCACTTCTCTGCCTCTCACTGTGCCTTTTCGCACTCCTCTCCCACACTTCTCAAGGTAGGCAGCAATGGCAGCAGGGAAACGAGTGCCAGCTGGACAGGATCAACGCGATCGAGCCTGACAACCGCGTCCAGAGCGAAGCCGGTACCATCGAGACTTGGAACCCAAGCCATCAGCAGTTCCAGTGCGCTGGAGTTGCGATTGTGAGGCGCACGATCGAGCCCAATGGCCTGCTCTTGCCTTCCTACAGCAACACTCCTCAGCTCATCTACATCGTTCAAGGTACTGTACTATGCTGTAACTAGTTACTCCATAATCTCATCATCTGCTTAATTAGTCACAGTTGGATCAACTGTTGATTATTGACCACATTTTTGCTGCTGTGATTCCTAGGAAGGGGACACACTGGAATCATGTTCCCGGGATGCCCCGAGACATTCGAGGAATCGCAGCAGTCAGGGCAACAACAGTTCCAAGAAGGTGGCAGCTCCCAAGACCAGCACCAGAAGGTTCGCACCTTCCGTGAAGGTGACATCATCGCCATCCCTGCTGGCGTAGCCCACTGGTGCCACAACGATGGCAACGAGCCCGTCATCGCTGTGACCGTCCACGACACCTCCAGCCACCTGAACCAGCTCGACAACAACCCCAGGGTCCAAAACCCACCATTTCATTGAATAGCTGTAATTTGGTAGTTTCCCCTGATCCACAGAATCTGGAAATTGTTGTTTGATTTGGTTTTGCAGAACTTCTACCTGGCCGGGAACCCACAAGACGAGTTCCAGGAATCACAGCAAGGAGGAAGGCTGAGCCGCGGCCAGGACGAGAGGCGAAAGAGACGCCAAGGAGGCTCCACCTCATGCAACAACCTCTTCTGTGGACTGGACTCCAGCTTCATCGCCGAGGCTTTCAACATCGACGAGAGCTTGGCCAGGAAGTTGCAGGGCGAAAATGACAACAGAGGCAGCATCGTCCGAGTTGAAGGCCAGCTGGAGTTTGTTCAACCTCCGAGAAGGATTCAGGAGGAGAGACAGCAGCAGGGTGGCCGTGGCGGACGCTTCCAGCCTCTCGCCAACGGCCTGGAAGAGACCTTCTGCTCCATGAGGCTGAAGGAGAACATCGGAGACCCCTCACGAGCAGACATTTTCACTCCTGAAGCCGGCCGAATCACCACCGTCAACAGCCACAACCTCCCCGTCCTCCGTTGGATCCAGCTCAGCGCCGAAAGGGGCGTTCTTTACAACGTAAACACCTACTGCTTCTCCCTCTGCATTCTCTAACTCCATTCCCAATGAAAGCCATTCTTAGAAAGTGGTTCTGTTTTTGCAGGAAGCCATGAGGCTGCCGCACTGGAACCTGAACGCCAACAGCATAATCTACGCCATCAGAGGGCAGGCCAGAGTCCAGATTGTGAACGAGAACGGCAACTCGGTGTTCGATGGCGAGCTGCGCGAGGGACAGGTGCTGACGGTGCCCCAGAACTTCGCGGTGGTGAAGCGCTGCGAGAGCGACAGGTTCGAGTGGGTGTCTTTCAAGACCAACGACAACGCCATGGTCAACTCGATCGCAGGACGAACCTCTGCCATCAGGGCTATCCCGGCTGATGTTTTGGCCAACGCATGGAGGGTATCTCCGGAGGAGGCCAGGAGGTTGAAGTTCAACCGCCAGGAGACTCACCTGGCCAGCTCAAGGTCTCAGTCCTTCAGAGCTGTCGCTTAGAGGCGAAAATGAGAGCTGCAGCTTAGATGCCAGCGGCTGACGTTCTGAGTTTGTATGTAACGGGAAGCAAGTTGTGGAGACTGGGGAGTAGCCCATCACCCACTGTAAGAATAATGTAATAAAGTAAGGAGTAATTAGAAGGAGCTCCAAATGTTGGCAATTTATGGAACACAGAGTTCGATCCCAAATCCGAAACCAACCCAGACTAACAACGATACCAGAATATGATTTACTACTATGATACATACATGCAAGCTTTCTCTCAAAGTGAAGAGAAAAGAGGGACCCCTGGCAAGGTGGCTCCAGCATCCACAATGAAGATATTGCCAGTCACATACTGAGACGAATCGTGGAGGAGGTATCGAATGAGCGATGTCAATGCCGGATCTGTAGTTCCGTAGGTTTGTAGAGGGAGTGTTTTCTCAGCAACCCGAGTCAGCCATTCTTTCTCCATCAAACCTTTCGTGATCTCAGACTTGAAAATTCCAGGCGATATTGAGTTAACCCTGATCTTGTACACCCCCAACTCCAGCGCCATCACCTGCGAAAACGGGTTACATCTATCATGAACCAGTCATCCCAATTCGATCAACCAATTCAGGAAGGTAACACTTTGTTTTGCTTTTGGAATTTTGGCTTGTATTGATTTTCAGTTCTACAATCAGCTTATATGCTGTTGAGTTGGGTTTACAGATCAAGGAAAGAAGACAAGCTTGGGACAGAAGAAAGTACACTCCGAAACAGGAAAATGAACAAGTTAATTAGTTTGGGACTTGTTTGGTAATTTGCCAGACACTACTTCACTCCAGGTTCGATGCGTCGTCGTCTCGCTTGCTGTTTGAGTTTGCTTTAGTGGATGCGGCGTCGTCTGGGTTGCAACGGTCGATGGATTTGAACGTTGGAGCTCTGCCTCCTGCTCTGCTAACTCTGGTTCCATTTCAGGCGAAGAAAAACGTAGGTTTTTCTCTGATACCCCCCCGCAAGCTGGTGGGCAGAGATTCAGCACACCAAGCTTGGAGAGAAGATGATTGAAGGTTGCTGGAGGAAGAGGTTTGGTGAAGAGATCTGCCAGCTGATGCACGGTGGAGATATGAAGCACTTTGATGATGTTGGAGATGATCTTTTCGCGCACAAAATGGCAGTCAAGTTCAATGTGTTTCGTCCTTTCGTGAAAGGTTGGATTTTCGGCGATGTAGATTGCAGACTGGTTGTCGCAATAGAGAATAGCTGGTTGGGGATGACCAATTTGTAGATCTTGGAGAAGATAGAGGATCCATTGGATTTCGCAGCCTGTGTGAGCAAGTGCCCGATATTCAGCTTCACAGGAAGAGCGGGAGATGGTGGTTTGCTTTTTGCTCTTCCATGATATTAGAGAGTCACCCAAGTAGACACAGTACCCAGTTGTTGATCTTCGAGTGTCAATGCAAGCCGCCCAGTCAGAGTCACTGAAGGCCTTGAGTTGAAGTGAAGAAGTAGCTGAGAAGAAAAGTCCACTGGAGGGAGCTGATTTGAGGTATTTTAGAATTCTGAGAACTGCTTTGTAGTGGTCTTGGCTTGGATTAGACATGAATTGGCTCACCTGTTGTGTTGCATAGCTGATTTCTGGTCTTGTAGTGGTGAGGTATATGAGCTTGCCCACTAGCCTTCTGTATAGAGTGGGATCTGGAAAGGGATCAGAATGTTGAGATGATAGGTGAATCTTGTAATCCATTGGTGTAGTGACTGGTTTGCAATTCAATAAATCTGCTTCTTCCAAAATTTCCAGTGTGTATTTCCTTTGAGAAATGTGGATGCCTTGTTGTGATCTGGCCACCTCGATGCCTAGGAAGAATTTGAGGGTTCCCAAATCTTTGATGCTGAAGGCATTGTGTAGGGACTGTTTGAGACTGTTGATTTCTTGTAAGTCAGTTCCTCCAATGACCAAGTCATCCACATACACCAGTATGCATGTGTAGGAGGACTTAGTGGCCTTGTAGAATAATGAATGATCCACTTTGCTCGATTGGTAGCCTTGTGATCTGAGCTTGTCTGCTAGTTTAGAGAACCACTGCCTTGATGCCTGTTTTAGACCATAGAGTGATTTTTTCAATAGGCAGACTGGTGATTTGAAGCCTGCAGGAGGCTTGTAGCCTTGTGGCAGTTTCATGTAGACTTCCTGGTCAAGGTCCCCATGTAAAAAGGCATTGTTCACATCCAAGTGATGGACATGCCAGTTTTGTGCAGCAGCAATTGCTAAGAAAAGCCTGATGGTTGTCATTTTGACAACTGGGGCAAAAGTATCTTGGTAATCAACTCCTTCCTGTTGGTTGTAGCCTTTGGCTACCAGTCTTGCTTTGAACCTGTCAATAGAACCATCAGGATTGAATTTAATCCTGAATACCCATTTGCATCCAATTGCTTTCTTGCCTGCTGGTAGTTCAACAATTTCCCAAGTCTCATTAGCATCAAGGGCAGAAAGTTCTGTAGTGACTGCTGCATCCCATTCTGGGAATTGGATTGCCTCTTTGTATGTGTCAGGTTCTTTGTGGGATGAGATGGATAAAACAAAGTGTTTGTGATTGGAGGAAAGATTGGAGTAATTAAGAACAGTGGAAAGTGAGTGTTTGTTACCTTGGATGTGCTGCTGTGGAAGATGACTGGTAGAAGGAAGCTGCTGAAGCAGGTTACAATGTTAGTTTTGTAGGTGAGAGGGTGGTTTGGAGGGTCTAGTTGATTTTCTAGTGGGTTGGACTGGTTGTGGTGGTGGTGGTGAGGGTGAGGAGTGTGGGGTTGGAGAAGGGGATGGGGAGGCAAGGTTGGCAGTGTTATCATCCTCATCACTGTCTGAAGGGAGGTCTGGGAGGATAGTTGGGGGAGAGTCATGGGGTGGTGGGGGAAAGTAGGTGGGGGAAAAATCATCATACAGGCTGGGAAGTGAGGGTTGGGGATAGGCTGGGTTGGGGGAAGTGGTTTGTTCTTGAAATGGAAAGTGATGTTCATAGAACTGGACATCTCTAGATGTAAAAACATCATTTGTGGCAAGGTCATAGATTTTGTATCCTTTGATACCTGCAGTATAACCAATGAAAACTCCCTTTCTTGCCCGAGAGTCAAACTTAGTTCTGTGGTTTTTGAGTGTGGTTGCATAGCAAAGACAGCCAAAGACTCTAAGGGCAGTAAGGTCTGGTTTATGGTTGAAAAGGAGTTCAAATGGTGTTTTGTTGTGCAGGACAATAGAGGGTACTCGATTGATTAAATGAACAGCATGTCTAACACAGTCACCCCAAAAACCAGAAGGTAGGTTTGCTTGGAATTTTAAAGCTCGAGCAACAGCAAGGATGTGTTGGTGTTTTCTTTCAACCTTGCTGTTTTGCTGAGGTGTTTCAACACAGGAGAGTTCATGAAAGATTCCTGTGGTGTTAAAGAAGTCATTCATTTGAAACTCTTTGCCTTGGTCACTACGAATTCTTTGGATGGAGGTTTGGAACTGGGTTTGAACATAAACACAGAATTCCTTAAGTTTGGACCTAGCTTCTGACTTGGAGGATAGTAGAATAATCCAAGTCATTCTAGTGAAATCATCAACAATGGTTAAGAAATATTTGAAACCATCATAGCTAGGAACAGAATTAGGGCCCCATAGATCAATGTGAATAAGCTGAAAAGGTTTAGAGCATACAGTGGTGCTCAAAGGAAAAGGCAGTCTTCTCTGCCTTGCAAAATGACAGACATCACAAGGTAATGACTTGTCTGTGTTAATAGAGTTACATATTTCTCTCAAAGAAGGGATTTTGGAATGAGAAACATGACCAAGTCTATAGTGCCAAAGATCAAAAGTATGGTAGCTTGTGGCTGTGATGTGTTTTGGTATGCTGTCTGTTTGGTTTGGATCTATGAGGTAAAGGCCTTGGGTTAGCTTAGCAGAACCAGTCATCTTCTTGAGCTGCATATCCTGTATGTAGCAAACATTGGAGAAGAAGGTTAAGCATAGGGAAGTATTGGTAGTTAGTTTGCTGACTGATATGAGGTTGAAACTGAATTTGGGAACAAAAAGAGCCTCCTCTAGGATAAGACCAGGAACACAGGTAACTGTTCCTGTGTGGGTTGCTTCAACCTGCTCTCCTGTTGGTAAGGTTATATATATGTTCTGGAGTCTCCTGCAGTTGGTTAGCAAGTGCAGAGAGCATACAACATGGTCTGAAGCTCCTGTATCTAATATCCATTGTTGAGGTGGAGAGATATTAGAGTCAACAATCAGGCTGAATTTAGCTGAGTTGTTACTGAATGCTGCAGCTGTGAAAGATGGAGTCTTTTGGGTTCCTTTGTCTTTGACCAGAGACATTAACTTGTCAAAATCTGCCTTGGTGAGCTTGATTTCGTCATTGGAATCATCATGGAGGTTGCTGGAGGAGGCATTAACAGATCCTCTTCCTCTTCCAGCACCTGTGGTAGTTTTGGGAGGGAATCCATGTTTGAAGAAACAACGTTCTTCTGAGTGGCCCTGTCGTTTGCAGAAGGTGCATTCATATGTTTTCCTCTGATTGGTTGAGTTCTTGGTGTTTACTCCAGGAGGCCAGCCATGTTTGTGATAGCATGTATCCTCTGTGTGGCCTTCAAGTTTGCAGTGAGTGCAAAATGGTCGTGGTTTTCTGGTCTGGAACTGGTTTGAGGTTTGAGCAGCAAGAGCCATGCTTTCAGTAGCAAGGCCTTTGGATTGAGGCTGGCCATTGAGTTGGCGTTCATGTTGGAGCATCCTCTGAAAGACCCTGTCTATAGGGGGGAGAGCATCTCCAAACAGAACTTGAGAACGGACACTAGAAAAGTTATCATTAAGTCCTCTCAGAAACTGAATGATGTAGTTAGTGTCTCGATAGAGGAAAACCAGTTTCATTGCTTTGCAGGTGGTAGAACTTGTGGTGGAGCAGTCACATTGTTCAAGAGGTTGGTAATTGTCGAGCTCATCCTTGAGAGCAATGAGGTTGCCATAGTAATCAGTGACAGAAAGAGTACCTTGTTTCAAGGTGCAGAGAGATTCAGTGAGTTCAGCAATGCGGATGAGGTCACCTTGGCCATATCTTTCGCGTTAGCTTCTCCATGCTTCCAGGGCTGTCTTGCAAGACATGATGGTCTTCCGGATTGCAGGGTCCACAGCTTGTTGAATCCATGCCAACACCATGATGTTGTTGCGTTTCCAAGAGACAGATTGCTCACTGTCTTCTCCTGGATCTGGAATGCTTCCATCAATGAAACCAAGTTTGTTCTTGGCTCCCAATGCATTGAACATTGCTTTGTGCCAGTCATTGTAGTTGAGTGTTGTGAGTTTCTCTCCTACAAGCTGGGATCCTGGTTGTTCAGAACCATGGAGATAGTATGGATCTGCCATGGGATCTGAGTTTGCTTCCATTGGTGGCGGCTAGGGTTTAGAACCCTTGAGGCTCTGATACCATAACACTTTGTTTTGCTTTTGGAATTTTGGCTTGTATTGATTTTCAGTTCTACAATCAGCTTATATGCTGTTGAGTTGGGTTTACAGATCAAGGAAAGAAGACAAGCTTGGGACAGAAGAAAGTACACTCCGAAACAGGAAAATGAACAAGTTAATTAGTTTGGGACTTGTTTGGTAATTTGCCAGACACTACTTCACTCCAGGTTCGATGCGTCGTCGTCTCGCTTGCTGTTTGAGTTTGCTTTAGTGGATGCGGCGTCGTCTGGGTTGCAACGGTCGATGGATTTGAACGTTGGAGCTCTGCCTCCTGCTCTGCTAACTCTGGTTCCATTTCAGGCGAAGAAAAACGTAGGTTTTTCTCTGATAGAAGGATGTGACTTTGAAGGAGATATTCGGATTAGGAGGTAGTCATTCGAAAGGATGTTCATGGAGATTGGGTATTGGTAACGATATTGAAGTCCTATGAAGTTATGTTTGCTATACCATCCTATCCATAACATCATCAAGCAAGTTCAATGCATATGACGAGAAAATGCATAGTTTACCTTAGTCATGGCATTAACTCCCGTCTTTGAAGAAGCATATCCAACAGCACCAGGCAATTGACCGCGGTGGAGACCAGCAACCGATGAAATGTTGATTATGGAACCTCCAACCTTGGCATCACGCATCCTTATGCCAACCGACTTAGAAACCAACCAAGTCCCCGTCAAATTCGTCTTGATCACATGATCCCATTCCTCTTCAGTCAAGTCCAACGGATTCTTTACACTCCCTCTCACGCCTGCATTGTTGATCAAGGCATCTATCGTCCCGAACGACTCCCAAGCCTTCTGTACAGCTTGGTCAATGGCAGCACCACCTGCTGATACGTCCAGCTCAACGGCCACAGCACGCAGACGATTGCTAGGCTCCCCTGAAGAGGATGAAGAAGATTGAGGGGTTGGGAAGGGGAGATTATTGATCTCATTGCACAAAGATTGCAGGCGATCGATACGCCTAGCAGCAGCCACTATCCTGCACCCGGCTTTCGCTAGGTCGAGACAGAAGTCTAGGCCTAAACCTGACGATGCGCCCGTGATGAGGACCACTTTGTCCGTCAAGTTGCACCATTGCTCAAGCTGGGAGGGCATCGCGTTAGCCATTTCCTGTGCCGAGAGAGATGTCGTTCAACAGGTGAGCGAGCGAGGTAAGTAAGACGAACAAAACGAAGTAAACAGTCACTAATTGATGCATTTCGATGATGAAGAAGAAGAAGAAGACCCACGAAATCACAAGAACCAAAACGGAAGGAACAGATTAGTTTTTGCCAGAAAATTCTCACTCATGCAATTCACCGAACACTTGGAGCTCGTGGTAATTCCTATTGGGCCGGCCATCAAAATCGAAAGCATCGAACTTGGGGCACACCAACAAAGTTCAGACTCAAGCAAATCATGAATATCAATCAAAATTTTGAACTACTCTATCAGCAATTGAACTAAAATTGAATTGCGGAAGACTGAATCCTGAAAGATGGTAAGCACGAACAGGGGAACCAAAATCGAAACAAAGGGAAAGGAGCAAGCTTGCCTCGTGTTGGACCAGACGCCCTTCCAAGCTTCGATTCTTCTGAGAGAGGATCCACGAGCGGGTGAGGAAGTCGGATGGAAGTGATTATACGGCGGGATAAAGGAAACCTAACTGATAGTGCCCACTTCACTTCTGGGAACTTTCCGCTGGTGAGATTGACGACGCAGCGAGCGAGGTAGTTACCACTCGGCCACACTGCAGGAGTTGACGCCTTGACGGGGAAAGTGGCAGCAGTTCACGCATGAAATTAAATATTATTTTATCAGGCCCGGATGAATAATTAATTGCATTTGTAGTCCCTCTACTATATATTTCTAACGAAACCATCCCTGTATATAATATGAAATCGAGCAAGGATTACTAAACCTTATTAGACTGGTATAATCCTAGCTGACTATATTTATTATATTTTAACAGTTGTATTGCACTTGTATATTAGCAGTTGATGTATTATTATACAACTAAAATATCAGACTGATAATTTACCGGTAGTATCTTGTTTACACCTAAACAATAATCTTGTACCATATTGATTATTTACATGTATTTAGTGTTTTTATAAGGCCAGATCAATTATAATAATTAATTTTATTTAAACTAGGTATTACTGTACTAAATTTTTTAGCCCAAACGACTAAATTTCTGAGAATGCACTAATTTTGTTGCGAGGGAGCTAAGTCTGGTAGACCATGTTGTTCGCGAGATTTAGACAACCTTCGTCGGGAGATCTAGATCTAGACCACGTTGGTCGCGAAGATTTAGATGTCCTTCGTCGCGAGCTCTAGATCTAGTCCAAACGGCCAAGTCTTCGAGAGGGCACTAATTTCCTCGCCAGTCTGCTAGACCACGTTGGTCGCGAAGATTTAGATGTCCTTCGTCGTGAGATCTAGATCTAGACCATGTTGGTCGTGAAATCCAAAGCCAAGACGTGCCACCGATATGAGGTCATGAAATGGACAGCATTGGTCGCGAGATCTATAATGCCTCAGCCGCGAAATCATATCACGATGGTTGCAAGTGGGCATTGTCGCGCGGAGTTTGGTAGACCTCGTTGGTCATGAGATCTAGAAGGTCTTAGCAGCAAAATCAGACCATGATGGTCGCAAGTGAGCATTGTCGTGTGGAGTTTGGTAGACCTCGTTGGTCGCGAGATTTAGACTTCCTTAGTCGTGATATCTAACAGTCCTGGTCATGGTGGAGAGGAGGCAAACACCAAGACTTCAGTTCCATAAGAAAGAGGCACTTGGACGGTTAACGGACAACTATCAATTTTCCTCGTTCAAGCACACGTCAGTCATGTCCGAGGAAGAAGGGTAGCAATTCTTTTTCAAGTTACTCTCTAGACGGTTTTCTATGACGGTTACTACCTCATGGCTATAAATAGGAGGAGGAGTTGACAGATAAAGGGACGTCAAATTCACACCAAACAACTTAATGTCAACTTTTATCTTTTTATCTTTCCTCGACAACTTTAACCATAGTCGTAGATTTGGAGCTCTCACTGAACCTCCATAGGAGTAGGGTTAATTTAATGTAAATCTGTCTCGTAAGTCGTGTAAACGTCCAACACCCTCGTTCGAACTTTGTTTGAAGATGTATGAACTGTGTTAATTTAATCAATGTTCAAGAAGTCAAGGTGCAATCAATTCGATTTAAACGTAAGTTTTCTCACCGGAAAACATCGATTTTACAAACCATGCTTTTTAAAATAGAAGATGAACTTTTAGTAAATGCAATGTGAATCATTTAGTTCATGCTTAACTAGCATAGAACAATCTCACTAGCAACATAACCTGAATGAAAACTTGGATAAAAAATATAAACATGAAGGGAATGACTCTAGGGCTGTAAATGAGCCAGACCGCTAACGAGCAACTCGTCGTTAAGCTTCGGAAAAACTTGGTTGACACTCAATTCGTTTACTAACATGTCGAGATAGAGCTAAGAACTATTTGGTTCATAAGGTTCATGAGGAAATTCGCCTCGGTGGTTGGTTGAGCCCAACTCATGGAGTAGTCGTTTTAAGCTATGAGCTCACTCCGCAGTATGGGTAGCGACACTTTAATTAGCAATTTGTGAGTGGATCGGTTATTAGCTTATCATTGACTTGTTGATAATTCATATGTTTGGTAGATTATATATCTCGCCACATATAATGTTTAAGAATTTGAGCAAATGGTCAAATATGTCTCATTTATAATTGAGAAGAGAAATTTTGTATTATAGGTTGCTCATATACTAATTACTACTAATTAAAGGGTAAATGCCACATTTGGTCACTGGGATTAATTAAACGTGTCATGTTTAGTTACTCGAAAAAATTCTTATCAATTTTGGTCATTCAAATTACTAAAACAGTTCACATTTAGTCACTCTCCATTAGTCTCCGTCCAACTCCGTTAATGGAGTCTGTTATGTGCTGACATGACCAACGGAATCGCCTAATTAGCATCGTTTTGGACCGGAAATGGTCAAACCCGCCATGTCATATGCCCAAACCAACCCATGAACCAAACCCGACCATATTCTCCATCTCTACCACGCCTCCCCCACTATCCCTCTTCCATTTCACATCGTCGGCAAAACCCCCCCATTCTGTTTCAAACCTGACCCATGATTGATTGGAGAAGTGAAATCGAACCGGACTCGCCTCCCACTTCCCTTAACGTTGCCTTCTCTGCATCGGTGACGTTCTCGTCGTTCTCCAACTTCCTCAACACAGTGGAGGAATCAATTGATTGGAAAGGAACCTCTGAAGCAGACACTCCGCCACCATCACCCGCACGACTGAAGGGGCTCTCCCCATCGCCTAACTTATCATCATCGTCATCGTCGTCTCCGGCTTTCTGAATCTTGGCAATGGCAGAGGGATGGTCGTGTCTGATTTTGATCGAGATTCTGCAGTATTCTCCCCAAATCATAAACGAGAAAAGCCGCAAGAGATCGGAATCCGATGGTGAGAGGGAGGAAGCGAGTCGGGACGCAGTGGAGGCGACAACGAGCGAGAGATAAAGAAGAGTGAAAAACTTCAAATCTGAAGTCAAGCTTGTTTTGTTTTGTTTCTCTATTTGCTACCGGTGGCGCCTGCAGCATTGGCGAGGGCAGGAGTGGGAGTGAAAGGTATCCTGTTGAATGAAAAGACGACCTGGAGGGAGAGATCGAGGGAAGACACAATGTCGGGGATGAGAGGTTGGAGGGAAGCCAATAGGTGTAGTTGGGCGGCGCGTTGGGTTTGAATGCGGGATTCCAGCTCCGTCCGAAGGGTTTTAATTGTCGACACTAGACTTACTTCGTTTGGGGTGGGGTTGGAGTTGGGTTGTTGTGGCCGTCAAATTGGAAGTTCATAAATTGATTCCATTGGCTTGCCAGAGATAGGAGTTCACGAAGGGGTCAAAGAAGAAGCGGTTAACCTCAAAAGCGCACCGAGAAACTCAATTAAGCGGCTAACTAAAAACTGACAAGGAGCTGCAATTGGCGGTGTCTGTTGGGGGAAAGAGGGTGTGAGGTCAACCGTGCGGTTATCGGTGACTAACCGATAACCGGGCGGTGACCTGCACTAACCGCAATTATGCCCTACTGTCCCTAACCACAACCACTCGACATCGCTTCCCTTCCTCTCATCGCTCATCCTCGAGTCCCCCAGCGTCCTCCTCCTGCCTTCTTTGAGATCGTTTATTATATAGTATGTTGGTACTGCAGATGGTGATAGATAACAGGAGCACGATGGACGATCGAGCACTGGCATCCTCCTCCTCCCATATCGACATTAATCACCCAATTCCCAATTAAGCGTAGAAGGAGAAGAACCTTAAGTCCCAAATTTCGGATGGCAACACCCAGCAAATTCGAAGTCAATCCTTCATCGGCCAACCGTCTTGGCCTCATGTTCTCGACCTCATCATCGGCTAGCCGTCGTCGTCTAGTCATCCTGTCGGCTCGTCGCATCTCGTCAGTCTTCAAGAGGTCCTGACACCGCCCCCAGGATGCGAATCGTTCTCATCTTCTCAAATCTTGACCTCGCCATTGCCAAAGCTTCAAATCCTTCTCATCATCTTAATTTACACCCCTCCTTGAAGTTGCTATTATCGCTGGCGCCTGCCAAACTCCCCTGGAACTAGGGGTGGGCATCGGTTCGGTTCTGTCAAAATCAAACCGAAAATATGCATACCGAGTCTTCCATATCCTCCATATTTGAAATTGAACTCAAACCGAAATAGAATTCGACTCGGGATCCCATCCAAACCAGACTTCTATAGAAGAAAGACTCCACATCTCCACCTACCTGTCTTACTTTACTTCATCTTCAATTTTCCTCTAATACTCTCTCCCCCACTCTGTCCCCTCTCTCTCCCTCCCTCTCCCTCTCTCTTTCTCCCTACCCAATCTCTCTCTCGCCCTCCCTTTCTCTCTCCCTCTCTTTCTCTCTACCCAACTAGTAAACACAACGGTGACCGGCGAACGAAGCTCAAAGCAGAGCACAACGCGGCGATAGAGATCTCTCCTTCGTCATAGATCTCGACGAATGACGACAGGCGACAACGGCGATTAACGCCGACGATGTTGACAACTTCGACGACTAAGGTTAGAGGTGAGTAGTATGGGTAAGATCTAAGCATGCATGGGCTTTTTTGGGTTTGCTTTTCTCCGTCGAGGTTCAGTAGATCTTCTTTGTTTTCGATTTCAGGTGGAGAAGAAATATGTCGCGACGGAGAAGAGAGTGCGGTGAGACACCGTGTGAAGAGAGCGCGAATATATCATGGAAGAAGCAGGGCGGGGACGTTGGTGTGTGACGGTGGTGGCTGCTGGAGTGTAGGTGGTGGCGTGGTGGTTGTGGGATAGGGTCATAGGGATGGGGGTGGGAGGCGAGAGTTGAGAGAGCATAAATGGGTTGGGCTTAAGGTTTTGTGGGGACTAGGTTGGGGAGAGTGGGTTGTGGCCAGTGGGAGGAGTGAGCTTTGGGTTGTGTGGGTATAGACTATGATTTTGTGGTTAGTTTTATAATTTTGATTTTTCGGTTCGGATGTTCGGAAATCGGGTTTGATTGTGTGACCTTAGTTTCCGAAATATGGTTTTTCTCCTTCTGAACTTAATAAGTAATAACTTAAATTTTGGTTTTGGTCGGTTTTGGTTCAATTCAATTCGATTCGGAGAGTCAAACCCAAACCAAATGCCCACCTCTACCTGGAACTACTGTTGTCGGGTATCCGCTAACCGCCCACCGAACTGATGCTAGTGGTTGTGGTTGTCGACTAACCGACAAGCCTTGTGGTGGCAGTAGCGGTTGACGGTATCAGCTCCTATTCGATCTCGGCTAACCGACATTGCGATGCGGTTAAACCGCAACCACACTGATTATCAGCCTGTGTCTATTAAATATAAAGACCGATTTTGTAGGCCCCAAAAATTTGATGACCGTTAATAACTTACCGGCTACCGCTATTTCGCCCACCACTTATATTCGCCGATAGATATATGCTCCATTAACGAACCCGCCAAGTCGACTTGAAAAACCCGCGGCGCTACCAAATTCGACACTCTGACGGAGCTTCCGGCTTCCGTTCCCCGGCTTATATTGAAATCCCCCGCAGAAAATTATGCAGAAGGAGTCGCTACTCTCTGTAGCAGAACGTGCACATCCAGCCTGGTTTAACGCCGAAACTGGAATCTACCGCAGCCCACACGCCGCCGTTGCTCTCCCCGCCGACCCTCTCCTCGACCTCGTCTCCTTCATCTTCTCCCATCGCCGTCGCGATGCACCCCACACCTCCTCTTCCTCGGCGGTCGCCCTTCTCGATTCCGCTTCCGGCGACTCAATCACTTACCAAGACCTCTTCCCCCTCGTCAAATCCACGGCCTCTGCCCTCCAGAAATCGGGCATCCGCCACGGCGATGCCGTCTTGCTCGTCCTTCCCAATTCAATTCACTTCCCCGTCGTCTTCCTCGCCGTCCTCTACGCCGGCGCCGTCGTCACCACCATGAACCCTCTCGCGACCGTCGTGGAGATCCAGAAGCGCATTGCCGATTGCGGCGTCCGTTTGGGACTCGCTGCGCAGGAGAGAGCTACGGCTCTGCAGGATTCCGCTCTCGGAATTCCGTTCGTCTTAGTCCCGGAATCGAACTCTGGTTCCTCCCTATTGGATGCCTTTGGCGGCTTGATTGGTCGCGACGTTGATTCGGATTTGAGGCCTCCGGCAATTCGGCAGCAGGACGCGGCGGCGATTATGTACTCTTCTGGAACCACAGGCGCCAGCAAGGGCGCCGTGCTGACGCACGGGAACTTGATTGCTGCGGTGGAGCTCTTCGTGAGGTTCGAGGCTTCGACGTACGATTTCCCACCTCAGGAGAATGTTTATCTCGCTGTGCTGCCCATGTTCCACATATACGGCCTCGTTCTGTTCGTCGCCGGCCTGCTGTCGTTGGGCTCCACTATTGTCGTGATGAAGAAATTCGATGTGGGTGAAGTAATCAAGGCCATTGAGAGGCATGGGGTCACCCATTTCCCCATTGTCCCGCCGATATTGGGTCCCTTGACGGAACGCGCCAAAGGTGTTTGTGAAAATGGCTTAAAGAGCTTGAAGCAGGTTTCCTGTGGTGCAGCTCCTTTAAGTGGCAGCACTGTTCAGCACTTCCTCAATGCCTTCCCTCATGTTGACTTCATTCAGGTAATGCGGAATCAAAAGCTAGCGTAAATGGCAGACTAGCGCCCAAGATTTTGTTCTTTCACTTGCTTCAATAACTGTACTAGTTTGTAGCAAAGTTGATGCCTTTCTGTCTAGCAGGGATATGGTATGACCGAGTCGACTGCAGTAGGAACCCGGGGATTCAACACGAAGAGATTTCAGAAGCACTCTTCAGTAGGACTGCTAGCTCCAAACACAGAAGCCAAAGTTGTGGATTGCACCAATGGCCATCCCTTGCCTCCAGGCGGAATTGGGGAGCTCTGGATGCGAGGACCTGGCACCATGAAAGGTAACCAATCAATCATCAAAACCACTTCACTTCAGTGCTAGTTTTCATAAGTTACAAAACTCTTAAATCCTCCCACAGGATACCTGAACAATCCGGAGACAACTGCTGAGACAATTGACAAAGATGGTTGGCTTCGTACCGGAGACATTGTTTCCTTCGACAAAGATGGCTATCTGTACATCTTTGATCGATTGAAAGAGATGATCAAGTACAACGGGTTCCAGGTAAGTGCAGTTCAAACGACCGGTGTGCCCTTTTGCTTTTCTGCTAACTTGACTTTGATCAAGCATTGAACATTCAAATTCCAGATAGCACCAGCTGATCTGGAAGCTGTATTGATAACCCACCCGGACATACTCGATGCTGCTGTAACAGGGTTGGTGAACAGTTCAACAGTCTGTGTTTGTAATCCTTTTCTCGTGCGGAGTTTTCTTTACTTCCACCATCTTTGGCTAACAGGGCGGCAGACAAAGACGCTGGAGAAATACCGGTGGCGTTCGTGGTGAGGAGGCGGGGAAGCAATCTCAATGAAGAGGATGTAATCAAACATGTAGCCGCTCAGGTTTGTTAAGCACCCGCCATTACTGGAAAAAGAAATACAGTTGAAAGGAGGAGAAAGGTTGGTTAAGTTGGAGTGTTTCCTTTTGTGGGTTGCAGGTGGCGCCGTATAAGAAAGTGAGAAGGGTGGTGTTCACAGAAGGAATACCAAGGTCTCCAGCCGGGAAGATCCTTAGACGGGAACTGAGGAGCTTGATGAAGTTCACTCCCACTCCCAGACTCTAATTAACGTTGTAATCAGTTCCATTGAAACACTTTCTCCATTAATTGTCTCTTCACCATTTGTCTACACATTTGTGTACTAGTAATAGCATTTTTGTCAACTGTTACATGTAATTAATGAAATCATTCCAATCTCTTTTAGTCTATACGGTCAGATTCGAAAGGTGAGAGCTGTTATATTTAAGGGTTCGTTTGGAAGTTGTGATTCTTCAAATTGATGTATTGAGCCAATTAATGTATTACCATTTGATGTATTGAATCAATTGATGTATAAGGAAAATATCTTGTTTGAAAGTTTAGATTGTGGTTTGTTTTAAAACCACAAAAGTCCATTTTGAGTGATTGGGAAGAATCTTAACAATAAGTAGAGATTGATAATCCCTCAATTATGAGTGATTCTGGTGGGACCTCCAAAAAATTAATGCATGTATTCTAGTTTAATATAAGACAAAAAATGACTTAATCTCACAAATACATGAATTAACTCAATACACCATTTAAAATCGTAACTTCCAAACGATGCCAGTGTCGGTAGAATGAAAACTGGAAATTTGTTGAATTTTACAAAATGAACTGTGCTTTAACTTATTGTTCCTTGTCTTTTAATGTTAATGCTTTGACAGATTGAGTGAAGACAAAAGCATGAGGGAAGGGGGCAAAGATAGTGAGTGAGAGGATGAATAGAGAACATGTTAAGGAGAAAGAAACGGGCAACTGGTCCCAGGTAGATTTGTGCTGGAGGAGATAGCAACCCAACTGGTTACATTGTTTCAAGTTGTCCATGTTGGTTCTAATGAAGGTTAAAAGGACAATTTACCAAGTAGATGGTGGCTATATCACTTGATTTGTATTATAAGAAAATGATATGATATAAGATTTTGTTTTTGCTCTTTTCGACTAGTTCAGATTGTAGTAATTGGCTCCTACCACAAATTCAGTGGTTATAATATGACTAAAATCTGAAGAAATTATATTAGAGAAAAATGTTCATAATTTATTCATACAACAAAGTTTAGTAACTAAAACATGATTAAAATATATAAGAGGGAAATTTTGAATTCTCCATAAAAACTCATAAATGTTATAAAATTAGAATTTCCATCAAATTCAACAAAAGTTTTAATATCTAATTCACTCGTTCTCAATATATTTTCCCTCTCGCTATATAGCCCTCATTCTTTTTATGATTAAAACAATATACTATCCAAATCTTTTATTTTAAACAAAACAATAGCTAAACCTTTCGAAAAACCAATACAATAGCCAAATCGTTAACTTTCATCCAGTCAAACGCAAATTGACTCTAAAGTGATAAATTGTGTTGACATGGACTCTGGCGTCGATGTTGAATTTTGACATATCAGCAAAAATATAGAACCAAAACAATTTAATAGTCAAACCTTTTATTTGAGCTAAATAATAATCAAACCGTTTGAAATACAATTCAATTATCATTTTTGTCAAATTTAGCTTCATAGTTAACAAAATTATACATAAGTCCGAGTGTTTCGACACCTCGGCAAAAAAATAATTAAGATAGTCTTATTTAATTTAGAACAATAAAATAATAAGTTTTTAGAAATATTAAACTAGAAAGAAAAGGTAGAGAATCTTCTTCTTTCTTCTAAGACGATAAACATTTTACTTCCTTTTTGGCCTAGATCATTCTCCTTCTCGTCTTCCTCCTTTTTTGTACAAAAATACAGTCTTAATCTTCCTTCAACAAAGGCTTGAGCTCCGGAAAAAAGCTCCAAGGATATGCTCCCTTTGAATGGCTTTTTCGGAGTTCGCAATTGAAGGAACTAAGCAGTTGATGTAGAAAGAGGAAGAGTGTTCTTGTTATTAAAAAGGAAAGATTTTAGGCATAGAAGAAAGGAAGAGAAAGGTTAATCATCGGAGAAGACAGAAGATGACGAACATTTATTAACCTTTTTTATTCAGTTATTTTAATGCTGTTAATTTAATAATTTATTTTAATTAATTTCGTGTTGAGGTATCAAAACATCGGCTCAAGTTAGGGTGCATAACCATGGGTTAATGGTTATGCACCCATCAATAATCAAATCTGGGCCATTCATTTAGAAAATCTAGATATAAGGATGGAGAATTAAAGGTCTTTTTTATTTTCACCAGCTTTCTTAATTGACTCATTTCTTTTTCGTTTTAACTCGGATTTTAATTTTTTTTGCACAGATGGAACGAGTTCATCATGCTCTACAAAATGAGATCAATTTTCAATATTTTTTGAGGAAAAAAAATATCTGGCCTCTCGGTACCAACTGCATACCATATGGTATCTTCTTCGTTTTTCATTCGTTTTTGAAAACGTTTGCACAGCAGGGACGAGTTCATCATGATCTATTGGATCTACAAATTTCTGGGTGAACAAATTACAAGACAAAAAATACCACACAATACCATACAATACCACCCTGGTACGGGGTGGTATTTTATGGTATACAATGTTAAAAGTCGTAAATGACAATTAATATACTTCTACTATCATGTATTCAACCATCCGACAATTTTGGTTTGTGTCATACCACCATGGTACGCTTTTCAAACCATAGGTATGCTCTTATTTCAATACTAGTCAATACCATATGGTATAGACTAGTAAAAAATGGCTCAATTTTTTTTGTTCGAAAAATATATCAAAGTGGATATCATTTCGAAGAGCACAATTAATCTGATCTAACTGTGCAAAAAAAATTAAATTTCGACTAAAAACGAGTGAGAAATCGTCCGTCAAAGATTAAGGAGGGGAAAATTAAAGGTTTTCCAAGAGAGAGACGATGCTGATATCATGCTGATGTGAACTGGTTACTCATAGTTACTCACCATAAGGTTACTGACCTGATCCGTTCCCCAAAACATCTAGCCTTGTGTATAATTTTGTTAACTCTGGCGCTAAGTAGCTAACTTTAACGAAAATGGCTATTAAATTATATTCAAAAGTTTTGGTTATTATTTTGCACAAGACAAAGGGTTGCCTATTAAATTAGTTTGGGTCTATATTAATAATGACATGTCAAAATGTAGCATCCACGTTAGCGACTTAGCGTCCATGTCAGCATAATTTGTCATGTCAGCTGACATGTCAGAATGTAACATCCACGTCAACGTCCATATCAGCATAATTTGTCACGTCAATGTCAACTGACATTTATCTGAATGCAAAATTAACAAACTGGTTATTATATTTTTCTTAAAAATTTAACTATTATTTTATTTAAAATAAAATATTTGACTATTATATTATAATCCTTCTCTTTATCTCAAAATTTGATTTCTATTTCTTAACTTATAGCAAAATCTCTAAAAAAGTCTGTTGAACTTGAACCTCATTTTACCCTTTATGTGAAATCCTTGGAAAAAATCTCTTTATTTTTTAATTAGTTTATAACCCGGCCCGTTGACTGGAATATTCATATTTGATTATTTATATTTTGATGTTATGTATAAATCTATCAACCCGTTTAATTTTATTGACAATCCTTCAATCGAGATGATACATTAAGAATGAATATATAGGTCGAACATTTGGAGAAATATCATCATCATTTAAGAATATAAAATATAAAAATGTATCATTGATCCCATTTTCATAATGATAATTAAGTCCCAAGTAAAACTCTATCGGTTAGTTAATTGTCAAGAAAGATATAGTATAAAAGCTCACTGAAATTTTCACATGAACCATAGATAGTTTGAAACTAAATCTTAAACCTCGCAATACTACATAAAGGTTCAATGCTCTCCTTTAATAAAAAAAGAAATGGAAAGTAGTTGATTCAAGTCAACTATATACTAACAACTCTGTTAAGAGGGGATCAAAACTTGAGAGCAAACGCTAAAATCAGGGTTACCTTCAATATACTAATAGACTCGATCAAAGTAATAAGGAACAAAATTATACACTCCTTCTCTATCAGTTCCAGTAGGTTTAATAAAGAATCAAATGACCTATTCAGTAAATCAATCAATAATTCCTCGTTTTATGATAGAAATAGGTTGCGATAGCTGCAAAAATCATAAACCTAAATATCCAATAGCCACCACTCTTTGTTCTACAATCAAATTTTTATTCACTCTATCTTCAATCTCAAAGAAGTGTATGTTTCAAACCAAAAATTCAATTTCTAATCCTCCTCCTGCAAATCCATTTATTGGACTCCATTTTATTCGTCATGGATTGATATCGGAGTTAAAATCTTCTACTTGCCCAGTTTAAATCCCCAACAATAAAATTGTAGTTCCAAGAGATACTGAAAGATTGATTTTCAAAGGCTGCCTTGTACCGTGAAGTGAAAGGGGCGCAAACTATTGCACGATGGAGGGGATTTCGAAGGAAGTTAGAAATAGAAAGAGATAAGAACAAAGATAATAAAAGTACTAAATTTAAATATAAATTAAAAAATGCACGGAAACAACACGTAGTAATATAATTAGCCTTTCATGTTAGCCAATTACCAATTTACCTTTAGTGAAAATTAAGGAGAGATCAGTAATTTTAGAATTGAGAAAACCACATGAAACTCAGCTATGAAAATTGTAGTATTAAGCACCATAAAAATACATACGATAGACTTTGTGGGCTTGCTAATCATGATGAAAAAGTCCTCCGATTTTCAGAGTGTCACTTCGTGTATGTTTTATATTTTAGAAAAGATACAACAAATTTGTTTAGTGTAATTGATTGCAATTGTTGTCTTGATTTGAAGAAACTTAGGTTCAAATCCTGGTATTGACATTTTTTATATGAAATAAATAATTGATGGTAAAAACAAAAATGCTTCTTACTTTTACTCTCGTTCTAGTTGCAGAAAATTGAAAATAAAAAAAATAGAGAAAACTCTAATATATTATTGGAGAATTTTGTTTTTACACCCTGCCTCGAGGTCGATAATTCCGGTCAGAATAAAGGGGGGAAATCCCGCGAAATTGGAAAGCGCTGAACCATTTGGTGCCGAGCGCCATAGTTTGACAGGACTAACAGACAAAAGAACAGAAAGCTAATGAAAAGGCCGCATCTTCTTCTCCTCCTCCTTCCACCACAACAGCCAAAGCCGTTATCTACTTGTCCATACAAATAGGAAAAAGCCACACCACACACTACCTACCTACTGCTTCTTCAACCGATCGATAATAATGTCCACTCCTGCTAACGCTGATGTTCCTTCGCCTTTCACTTTCGCCTCCTTCAAATCTCCCTTTCCCTCCACTCCATGGCTGCCCACCAGTCTCCCTTGTCCGTCACTTCATCCCTATTTCACCACCGAAACAACCCACGACTCTCTTTCTCGATCAACCCGCGATGCTCCTTGAAACGCCCATCGAATTTGGCCGCCTCCCAGGTGGCCATATCCCTTCACAATCGGTCGAATTTTCACAAACACTTGGGCCGCATTCCGCTCCCTCGCCCTGATTCCGCGTTCTTGCAAATGGGTCCTCCTGAAGAACGCTCGAGTCTCCGAACTTCTTTGATCACCTCCGTCGGTTCTGCTTCAGATGGCGGCAGTACAGCATCGCCCACTCTAACTCAGAGCGTATGTATCCTCATTTTTCTTTGCTGTGTGCCAACTGGGTTGTTCTTGTTTTTTCATTGCTTTGAAGGGTTTGGGTGAATTTTGCAGGTGGTTGGGGTTCTGCATTTGCTTGTTTCGCTTGGGATAGTTCTGGCCGTTGATAAGTATCTGAAGATGGCGTTCGTGGCTGCTTCTATCAAGTTCCCCAGTGCGTTGTTTGGGATGTTCTGCATATTCTCGGTTCTCGTCATTCTCGATTCTATTGTTCCTGCTGCTGCCTCCGCTGTGGTGAGCTTCTTCGAGCCTGCGCTTCTCTTCATCCAAAGATGGCTTCCGTTGTTCTACGTCCCCTCGCTTGTTGTTCTGCCTCTCTCTGTGAAAGACATCCCAGCTGCTTCTGGTGCCAAGATTTGCCTCATTGTAGGTAATTGGAGCCCTTTTACTTTGCCTGAGTTAGTATGTTCGTTGTTCTTACACTCTCAATATCATCGGTATACGGTGGTAACAGTTGTTTGTTTGTGTCTCTTTCCTATGTTTTCCACAGCGGTTGGGTGGCTGGCTTCTCTCTGTGTTGCGGGATTCACTGCCATTGCTGTGAGGAAAATGGTTAAAACAGAAATGACAGATGCTGAGCCTATGGCCAAGCCCTCTCCTTTCTCTGCAGTGGAGCTATGTGTTTGGATTGGAGTCTTTGTGGCATCATTTGGTGCTGCTGTTCTGTATCCAACTTTGCTGGAAACAAGTGCTAGAACGTGCCTCCCGTTTCTGCTAGCATCGACAGTTCTAGGATACATGATTGGTTCAGGGTAATTTCTCCAATGTCGTCTACAGATGATTGATTATTGGGAGAGAAGAAAAAAAAATCTTTTGCTTTTGGAAGCATCGGGATCTGGAATGTGATACTCGCCTTCCATTTGGCCTCTCATGGGTTTTACAGGTTGCCTGCTGGTCTGAAGAAAGTTTTCCATCCGATCATCTGCTGTGCACTATCTGCAGATTTGGCAGCATTTGCTTACGGTTATGTCTCCAAATGTGGACTTGATCCTGTTTTAGGTACGTGTTATTGCAGTCATTGCCTTCAGTTTTCAATTGCTCTGGGATTTAAGTAGCTGAGATGCCAGTGGAAAAGCGTACAAGAATCAGAGAATGTAACTGGTTGCCCTAGTTTATGAATGCACTTCCTCTGCTGGTTTTGTAAGTTTCTCTGGTTGCATACAGGATATTACCTTACGAAGGCAGCAACTAATCCTGGAGCTGGAGATGTACTGATGGGATTTTTGGGATCTGTTATTCTTTCTTTTGCTTTCTCCATGTTCAAACAGAGGAAGGTAATGAGATTTACTCCTATCATCTCGCAGTCTGGAGTTGTTGGAACGTTTCCTTATTCGCCTTATTAGTTCACAGCATTCGTTCTATGGCTAAACTAGACCCTAAATCGTATGGGCTTATTGTTACAGCTTGTCAAGAGACATGCAGCAGAAATCTTCACCTCTGTCATCATTGCGACCCTGTTCTCATTGTATTCAACAGCTTTTGCTGGGCGTCTTCTCCAACTAGAACCCACTTTGACCATCTCAATTCTTCCTAGATGCATTACTGTGGCATTGGCCCTCAGCATAGTTTCACTGTTTGAAGGTAAGAGTGCACACTTAGATTCACTGCAGGTTCTGTTTTTAACTGATCCTGAATTGAACAACATATTCCTCGTACTATATTTGAGGTCAAACCAGCACTTAAGTTTCTCCCTTCATTGCATGCTTTTGCTGCAGGAGCCAATTCATCTCTAACAGCAGCAGTGGTTGTAGTAACTGGTCTTATTGGAGCAAACTTCGTGCAAGCAGCACTTGATAAACTGCAGTTTCGTGATCCCATCGCTCGAGGAATTGCCACTGCTTCCAGGTGAGTAGGAAAAAACATTCCCAGAGAACATTCTAAGCCAATAGATGCTTTCATATGCTTCCTTTGATGTGACGTCAGTCTGCTGACAAGCATAGCTTCTGTTGCAGTGCTCATGGACTGGGAACAGCAGCATTGTCAGCCAAGGAACCCGAGGCACTCCCCTTCTGTGCTATTGCATATGCTCTCACTGGGATATTTGGTTCCATATTTTGCTCCATTCCCGTGGTGAGGCAAAGCTTGCTCGCAATTGTTGGCTGAAGATATTATTCTCTGAATTTCAATATTGCGTATGTACAAAGAGAGGGGAGAGAGCAGAGTTATAGGAGCTGGACATAATGGAAAGGCCCTCATTTTTCCTGTATGATCTATCCAATTCATATATTGCCCTTCTTTTCTTCATTCTATTAAAAAGGAATCTGATTATGTAAAAGACAGATTGAAAGAAAAGAGGAAATGGTTGCCCATTTTTTGATAATCTGCTCTGGGTCAAATTCTTCGAGAATTTGGTCAGGAAGCACAAGGCAGTACTATCGGTCACACATTTTTCAAGATCAACAAACTATAACTCATATAGTATGGTAGAAACTAGCAACCATGTCAATAATATTCGTACGAGCATCAGGCGCTTGGCCCGTTCACATAAACTCCATGTTCCATTAATCTCATCACAGGGAACCGAAATGTGCTCATTGGTTCATATTCTCAAGACCTTAGTACTACTATGGAAAATTTCCTATCTTGACTACCAGTTTTCAATAACATGCTGCATCCATTTTTCGGAAGTAGAAGCCAGGAAATTACGGGTTCCTCACTTCAGCCCAGGAAGTTCATGATCACCAAATGAAGCACCAAGTTGCAGAGAATAAAATCGGCAAAAGCACGCTCAGGTGCCACATCCTGTAATTTATTCGAAGGAAGCATGAATTAGTTACCCATAACCACTCATTAACTCGGTTTGATGAGATCTGAGCTCTAGGAAAGAAGTGGCGAACAAAGAGTGCTGTTCTTTCCAATATTACCTTAAACTCCTTGTTGTCCTTGTTCACTTGGATGCGTAGACAAACTGTCGAAAGAGCAACAATTTAGCCCTGAGTTCAACCTCGCCATATGGCGAAAGGGAAAGTTATAGTACACTTACCAGCAAGGACTGCAGTGCCTATGCAAGAGAGCACCCCCGATAGGAAAGAATTGAAAGGAAATGATCCCACAACCGCCATGTAAACTACCTGTTTGTCAAAACACAAGTTATAATCAAGCAAATAGAACGTAAATCTCTCAATCCGTCCTGGAAAAGGCAGAAAATTCTGGAATCTCTTGAACAAATAAGGTATAAAACTTATGCAACAGCTGCATCTACCTTAAAATCTAGCAGGTTAGCATACTATTAGAAGTTTAAGCAATCATGACATACATTAGAACTAGTTCTATTCGTTCCAGCCATATAAATTTTATATATTAACAAAAGCCTCGTTAATCAGATCCTAGATTGTAAGAGATGAGAATTATTAGCATCATCTGTTAAAGATTCCAAAAAGTAACTATCCAATCTCAACCTTGACAAATATGGGGAAACACCTCAACATCAAATTCTAGGAAGACTCCCCTTCAAACACAGTTAATACTCCACAAACTGCGCAAAGAGGGAAAAGAAGAAGCCTAACGTCAGGTCTGAACTCAAAACCTTCATCCTTCCGTTTGATGTAACCAACTAATCTAATGTTCCACACACGAGAGAGGAATTTTCTAGGATGCAGACAGTCTAATTAACCACGGATAGCAGTACGGAACTTCTGATAGAAGGCTAAGATCAATCACATCCAAACACGATCCCAATAGATTGTGAGAGCAGAAAAGAGTTGTACTTTCCACTCTCCACTTCCAATATATGAACCTGAATAACTAAAACGTTGAACCACGGGGAAAAATAACTAATTGGCCCTCTAATCGACCATTCAATCGGATTCGAGTAGACAAAAGTTCGTCATCTCGAAACTGATTTCTACAGAAAGCAAGGAACTTGGATTTCGCCGCTTCGAAACAAAGGAATTGGGAAGTGGAGAATGAGGAAAAAAGTACCTGAATTACGGCGGTGAGAACGGCAAAACCCACATAAAGATCGATGATCTGCAGCGGGAAGATCAACATCAAATCTCAAGAAAAGGCGGGAATGTATAAAGGATCAAGAGATTCATCCACCAAACAAATGAAGACGGGCGAAGAGGAGAGAGAGAAGAGAACCTTGAGGTTATTCGGAGTCGCGGCGTAAGCAGAGCGAAGGGATTGGAAGAGCGCCTGCGTCTCCTTCACAGTGGAGGATGATCGCCCCATTCTGCCAACTCAATCCACGAAATGAAACGAAGAAAGAAGAAGACTCTAGGAGGATACTCAATCAGATCCAACCAATTCAGCAAATTCTAAGTAGTACCAGCTGCTGAAACACTCGAGGGTTTGAGATCAGGATTCAGGACTCAGGAGTTGGCACAAGGGTATAATAGTCATTCCAGAGCTCCCTTTCTCTCTCTTCCAACTAGTTCAAAGAGATTTTGTACGTCACAAAAATAAATTTAAATAGAACTTCGATTGAATTTCGTAGTTCCACTCGCAACCGCCAGTTAGCTCGAGTGGAAGAAACTCTCCCAAAATGGCGTCGACGGCATCCTGCAATTGCGCGGTAGCTGCGATTCCCGCCATTCCTTCCTCTTCTTCGCTTCCTTATCGGCTGGGAATCAGCAAACTGCGTCTCTCGTCGCTTCCATCTCACAAATTTCCCGCTCGGCTGTGCGGGAACAGTTCTCGTAACCGGTTAGCTCTCACTCACACTCCGCGGTTTTCTTTCCTCGATGGGAATTTTTCGGTTAATTCCCGTTTCAAGCTCCTCAGCTAGATCGTGTATGGCATGTGAAGCACCTTAGCAAACGGAATTCGTTTGGAATGGTGAATTCTGATCACGATTTGGAATTTTAATGAGAAACCGCCAGAGACATGTTAAGCCTTTTTTAGGAAGTTTGAGAAAAAGTTGGAACTTGGAAGGAAAGATAGAACCTGTTCATATGATTGGAATCGTGGAGCTTTCATTTTTCTAGCTCTTTTAGAAATGAAGGTGGAGTGAAATCAAGAAAATAAGGGATGAACACCAGGAATCAGCATGTTCACTTATTTGTTAAAGGTGCTTCCTTTGCCTGCAGATTTCATGTGAAGTCCAGCTATGCAGGTACAAATGTAAGGGATGGTTTGGAATCAATTGATGTTGTAGCTGATATCAAAACTGAGAAGGTACAAACTTGGTTCTCCTTTTCCCTTTCACCAATATTCTTGATGGTGATCATATATCTTGTAACCTTATTTTTTCTTTAGTAGGTTGTAGTCTTGGGAGGCAGTGGTTTCGTTGGTTCTGCAATCTGCAAGGCTGCTGTTGCAAAGGGTATTGATGTTGTAAGCCTAAGCAGGTCCGAGATCTGTTCTTAGGAAGTGGAATTCATCCATGTTTGCTGTGTTAGTTTGGCTTTCTCAAAAAATTGCTGGTCCATTTTGTTGGCATTGCCTCTCAAAATCATAAGTGACTATGGTTTGTCTTGTTCATCTAGTTTGTTGCTTACTTGCTTTGGTAACAAGAAAGTTGGGTATATCTCAGGTCAGGGCGTCCGACTTTGCCTGGTTCATGGGTGGATCAAGTTACTTGGGTACCAGGCATGTTCCTCTTCTTCCTTTTGCCTTGTCAAGTTATATAGAAGTTGTTAAGGATAATGAAGTATGTCAAGGTTCTCGAACATTTATGTTTTTTATCTTGTTGCAGGGGATGTTTTCTATGCTAACTGGGATGAAGTACTCCCAGGAGCCACTACAGTGATCTCAACTCTTGGAGGGTTCGGGAATGAGGAACAGATGCAAAGGATCAATGGAGAGGCCAATATTGTAGCAGTAAATGCTGCAAAAGACTACGGTAATCATCTCCTTTACCTTTTCTCTCTTAGTTCCCTGCTGTTGCTAGAGCGATATCCCTCTAAAACATGAAAACATGGAAGAGACCATCAAATTAGCTACAGGGCTGGCTTTCTACTGTATTTTATCGATTCTTTTCGTCTCTTCAGTGAGATGGTAGCAGTAAATAGAAGCATGACCCAACAGAAAGGAAGGTTATGATGCATCCATTCATTGATTTCAAGCTCTACTGCTATAGTGCTGATACATTGTGCTTTCTCCATCCAAATGTTTTACTCTCCATCTTCTTTCACTGTATTTAGGAGTCCCCAAGTTCATCTTGATATCAGTCCACGAATACAACCTCCCATCATTTCTCCTCTCATCCGGATACTTCACCGGGAAAAGGAAAGCAGAGTCCGAGGTTCTTTCCAAATATCCAAGCTCAGGTAACATTCAAGAAAACACGGTAAAACCCTTTGCTTTCACATCGACGACTGTACCCTAATGTTGTGTGCTTTCGGTGAGCAGGAGTGGTGCTGAGACCGGGATTCATCTATGGGAAAAGAAGAGTGGATGGACTTGAGGTCCCTCTGGATTTAGTAGGGGAGCCATGGGAAAAGGCTTTGGGAGCTGTTAGCAACTTGATTAGACCCTTGAGTTCTCTTCCGGGATCTGATTTGGTATTGGCATCACCTGTCAGCGTCAATGATGTTGCACTTGCTGTGATCAATGCTATTGGGGATGACGATGTTTTTGGTGTGCTCACGATCGAACAGATCAAGGAAGCTGCTGCTAAAGTCAAAATATGAGGAGTAAATAGAGAAGCAAACCAAGGATGAAGGAACTGAATGACCCATATAAAGTTGCTGGGGGTAGAAAAATGTAAGGTGGATTTTTGTTGAGACTGTACAAAGAATCCAACTTTATCAGTTAATGAAAAGCAGTAGTATTCTCAAAATTTCGTACATAGTTCAATGAGAAAATAGATCAGTACATTCATAAATTGATTCAAGATTGTTTACAAACTTCTCTCTAACTTCTTTTCCTCTAGTAAATTTAATTTTTGCTCCATCGCCAGCCCATCACGCCATCACTTGTATTCCTTCTACTCCAAGCTAACTAGGCCAGCTGAAAGTCTTTAACAGGAATCCCTTTACTTCTTAGCAACGGATTGCTCCGTGAGATACCTATTTAAATGCAAAGTTAACACAGGCAAGTGTTGCAAAATGTACCCTTCTTGCATAATGCTTGCTATCAAGGAAACAAACAATTGGAACGGAAGAGTGAGCTCATACTTTGCGGTGAAAAACCCAGCAGAGTACCAAGCATTCAAGACATTGCAGAGATCAGTTCCGGAGGTAGGGCCTTGTGCCTTTCCCTGTTTTTCTTCATCTGCGTAAAGGGAAGAGCTGAATAACTTTATGAAGAGAGGGCACAAAAGAAAATGGTAGATCGGAAACAGCAAAAAAATTGACAAATTATTATACCATCAGTATTTTCGATTAACAACTAGTTTGAGGTTCGCAAACTCATTTGAAAACACTGAACTACAGATTGAAGAGCAACTCGAACCCTTTACCACTATCAGGTATCATGCGTTAGTGATTCTTTAGATCTTATTTTCTAGGAAAAGGTCATACCTTCGACACCATTATTGTCTGAGGATTTCCCTTTCATAGATGACATCGCTCTTTCAGCAGCTTCCATGGCTGTTTTAACAATGTCACTCTCCCCAAGAGGACAAGACTTTCCACGACAAGTCACCATGGCAGACTCGGTGCCTAACTTACCACCACAGCATGAAACTGCTGGACAATGACTGGCATTAGGGCAGCAAGTGGTACATATGCAGGCAACTGAGGCATAAGTTTGGTTCGCCGCTGGGACTGAATGGTCTTGAAAAGTGGAGCAGTTAGCTAACTGGGAAGCAGAACCAGAAACTTCAGCAGGATCTTGGTAATAGTAGCCTCCTAGTTGTTGAAGCTGTTCAAGAACCTTTTGCCTTTTCTCTTCCAGCTCGTAATACTGGCTTAGTAGCTCGTTATAATCCTCTGTCGCTTGTACATTTGACTGATCACCAACTGCAGGTTCTTTTAGACCATTTGCAGTATCTACGTTTTGTTCATCGCCAAGTTGATACGCAAAATGATTTTCATCCGATGGTGCAATGCATAATCCGTCCTTGAGCTCTGCTGTAGGTTGCGATGCGCCTTCCCCAGTTTCATCCACCTCCCTGACTTTGCACCATTAAGCATGTAAGGGGGAAGAGAAGCGGGGGGAAATCGAAGCATATTGTAGCAATTGAATTAGAACAAGCAACATTCCCATCTGAAGCCACTACTCCATTGTAACTTTTGTCTATTGAAAGTTCTCACAGCAAACTAAAGCACCGAAATTTGTGTAGCTTAACACTACCTTGATACTCCATGACCTTCCTCCACAACAGGAGCAGAATCCCCACTGTCAGCTAAAAAATCTCCACTATCAGCTGACTTTTCCTGGCCTTCCTTGCCATGATACTTCTGGAAGACAAAAATAAGAAAACATTAACTGGATGTGGGCATTTAAAGGTATTTCATTTCATGTAACCAGCACCAATAACATCTAGCTCGCGCAATTCCTCCATCAAACTTTTTCATATTTTTACTGTCTACACTAGTTGATAAAGCGCTGACAAATTTAAGTTGCGACTCTGAAGCAGCACCCATTTCCCCCTCTCCATATCATGAATCGCTCATTTCTCAGCCCTCAATCGACCAATACAAGTATACAACTATACCAAATCAAACCCAAAGAAATGAAGCTCGTCGAAAGGATGAACAATAAAGAGATATAAGGGAAAAGATTGAGGGAAGGGGGGAAGAGTGAAGCTTGACCTTGTACTTGGAAATGGCGTCGTCGAAAGCGTTGAGAAGAGCTGAATCGTCCCACAGTTCATCTCCCTTCCCCATTTTCCCCCTGCGCTGCGTCTTCTTTTGCCAGTCTGCGGTGGTGGCGGCAATCGTCGAGGCTGAACTCGGAAGTAGGAACTAGGAAGAGCTGTTTGTTAAGTTTCACCCTCGCGCTAAATTATGGACATCTTGCCCGCCCAACTTATCATATTTCTATGGGCTTAAGCCCATTAAAAAATTTCTCCTTGACAAGAAACCACATTTACAACGTTTACAACTCCAACCGGATCCAAACTCAAAAGATCGAAACTAATTACATATTTACATCCACGGAATAAAAAATGAGAGCTGAATTGTTCCGTAATATTTACGTAATGAATTTGTATTTTACGTAATAGTTGTAAAGAAGTGTTACATAAGGTTGTCGTAATGTTTTGTCACTTTATATAACGCGAGATTTTCGTAAAAATTACATTTCATTACGTCAATCTTTCGTAACGTTTCTGATTTAACCGTTATGTAAAAATTAATTACAACTCCATAACTTCTACGTAATGGATATGTATTTTATGTCACAGTTGTGAAGTGTCATTAGAAAGTCTTACGTATGTAATGGATGGTCCTTTTACGTAATGAAAGTTATGTTTGTGTTACGTAAAATGTTAAGCCATTACAGAAGTCACGTAATAGACAGGTCTTAAAGTAATGAATAAAAACCTCGCGTTACGTAAAGGGCTAAGTAATTACATAAGCCTTACTCAACGCTTCTAGTTTAACTGGTACTTCAGTAACAACTGTCGTTCCATAATCTTTATGCAATGGATGTATATTTAACGTAACAGTTGTAAAAGGTCAATAAGTGATGACATGCACTACCGGTTACCACTATTTTGGTAATTAACGATCTGAACTGGTTTAAGTACATTTTAGCAATATATATTCATCAAGTTACCTAACTTGAAATTATATCCAAGTTACTGTAGGAGATCCGGTGTTTTAGCATAGATACCAAATATTTGGCTTGTGGCACCTAATTATACAAGGGTAAATTCCCAAAATAATGATTTTTTTATTTAACACCAATATGGCAGTTTTAAAACTATTGACATGTATATTGTGTTTTGGAGAGCAAAACTGGCGAGACCGCTCAAGACTCAGGCGGAGCCGCTTTGTAGGCTTTTTAATACAAAAATGGCAGCCCCGCTTGAGTGTGAGGTGGAGGGGCCTTTTTTTAATTTCGGCTAACGACGATCCCGCCAGAGACTGAGGCGTGGTTGGTGGCTAGGTCTGCAAAGATTCCCAAAATCATTGACCAGTGGAGGCGCTCCAGTCTAGGGGGAGTTCGCTAGCTTGCCCACCCACTCCATCACCATATAACAACATCCCCTTCCTTTCAGTTGCTCACCACAAAAAAAACCGATGTTACGAAGCTAAACGAGAGGAGCTCTATTGGTTGCTGCAAAGATGGCTAATAGGTAAGAGACACATTTATTTTTTAATTATATTATTAAAATGCTATTCTGATTTTGTTTAGTTAGAAATTAGTGAATTTGTTTTTTATGTAGTGATTTTAGAAGATTTGAACTAGTCATTCGGTGGAAATCGGAGAAAGTAGAGGACAATTTGGGCGTTCATTTTCGTTGGTGGTAGAAGTCACCTTCATTCGAGAATGTCAGATGCTTGAAGCACAAGGATGACAATTGTGCTTGGATGGTGTGGTTTGGATGTCGAGATGTTGGAAGCAAATGGACCGTGGGAAAGGTCGAGTTTGTGCATTTTTGTAGCAGCACGAGTCAATCGACTGATCATCGCCATCTTGATGTCGACGTTATATCTGAGTTCGTGAAGCATTTGGTACGTGCCCAACCAAATCTGAGTGTTCTAACTGTGCATTCCGAGTTGAAAGATAAGTTTAATATGTAAGTTACTTACAAGAAGGATTGGTATGAGAAACAAAGAGCATTGGAGAAGTTGCATAAAAATTGAGAAGAATCCTACGATTATTTGCAAACATTCTTGCGAGGGGTAAAGAGAAAAATGCCAACATCAGTTATTGATTGGGGCAAGTGTTCCTTCATCGCTTGATCTTTCGGCGAGTATTCTGAGCTTATGGACCTTGTATAGATGGATTCAAGAATTGTCCAGGAGTCATGGTTGTTGATGGAACATTTCTTATTAGAAAGTATAAAGGAGTGCTACTCATGGCAAGCTCATGTGATGGCCGAAGAAGATTTTTCCAATTGCATTTGCCATAGTGGAGAGTGAGAATACTGATAGTTGTTCATGGTCCATAAGACACGTTCAAGGTTTGACCGATCGAAATGATGTTTGCATCATCTCAGAAAGACATGCAAGACTTTATGAAGCCATGAGTGACATCGAAAGAGGTTGGGAATGGAGGTGGTGCATGCGGCATTATGCAAGCAACTTGCAAAGGAAGGCTAACGGTCACCTCCTAGGGAAGAGGAGCTTGTCATGTGCAAAACCGACCTCCCCATCTCACGGTACAAGGAGGCTAATACAACTGCTCCCCGGGAAAACGGTCCAGCTCTCTGCCAATCCTCCACCAAGAGTAGGTATTGTAGATGAACTATAGCTCCACTCTGATCGTGGAACAGTACACCTCCCATCAGAGATAAAGCGTAATCTCGTGCAAACTGCTCTGTAGTCTCTGGTGATGCATGTGCCGACAGATTATTGAATTGTTCCCTGAGCCAACCAATCCTAATGACACCGTCGGAAAGATCATTAGGAGCCCGTCCTAATAGTCTCACACAAGTCTTCGACCACTCCTCATCTGGTAGGTCTACTGCGACGGCATCACCGTAGATCGCTAGACCAGTGAGTGTCACAACGTCCTCTGATGTGATCGTTGCCTCACCAAATGACAATTGGAAGGTCGATGTCTCGGGTCGCCAACGCTCTACGAGTGTAGTAATCAAACTTGCATCAGCAGTCATAGGGACCAATTGCAGAACAGTAGACAAGCCCGCCTCGACGAGGTACGTCAAATAATGTGAATGGTACGTCACTAAATTGGTCGTACCTCGAAATGATAAGGTCGCTCACCAGCCTATAGTGCACAAAACTTATATTAATTCAATTTCATGCGTAATTCTAATTTCAGTTCAGCTAGTAAAATCTATCTAATCTAAACTTATACTAATTTCAAAAAAATTCATACGTAATTCTATTCTAATTCAGTTAAGTTCACCTAGTAAAAATCTATAATAGTCTAATCTAACCAGCTAATGAACTTTAAAAAAGTAGTTGTTATGAAAGACTTACCTCGTTTGCCCAAACTGCGTCGACATGATGTTTACCATGTCCCCAAAGAAGTGCCGAATCAACCGGAGTTGGATCAATTGTCGTAGGTGGTGGTCTCATGGAATAATTGTCCATAAGCCTAAGAACTGAAAAAAAAACAAAAAAAAATTAGCAAAAGATAATAAAACTCGCCGCCGGCAAGAATCCGGCAGCCGCCGATGAAATCCTCACCTCGATAGCCGCCGCCGCCACGAGCTCGCCGCCTCTCCCCCTTCCTCTTCCGCCGACCGCTTCCTCATCGGTGTCGGACATCTTGTCCCCAAACCAACCACAGATCTGCTGCTGCGAGTGAGTGGCGTGTGAGGGAAGAAGGAAGGCAAATGGCACCTTCGTTTGAGACTGAGGCGAGGCCTCCGCCTTTAGTTTCAATATACCCACCTCACACTCAGGCGGGGCCGTAATTTTGTATTGAAAAGGCCTAAAAAGTGGCTCTGCCTGAGTCTCGGGCTGTCTCGCTAGTTTTGATCTCCAAAACACAATGTCCTTGTCAATTGTTTTAAAACTGACATATTGATGGCAAATTTAAGAAAATAATATTTTGGAAATTTACCCATTATAGAACCAGTTGGATCAAAAAAGGCGATTATCACCTAACTAACCAATATAATATACATGTGTAGGGAAAGCTAGACGACAAATACAACGCTATTAAGTTGTCGTTTTGCACGCACTTTTTGATTATACCGTTTATGGTTTGTATGATATTAGAATATCACCAACTAACAGATAATCAGTATGATACTCGTTAAACTACAATTATACTACTAAATATTGTTAGACTGTCTAGTACAACCTCCTATCCAATTTGACAAACTATGACAAACCACGAAATAATTTCATATTGTGAAAGAAACGCAAAAGCATTCGTTATCTACACTATTAAATAAGTCTCTTTCAATGTATCTCACTAAACAAGTACTAGCAAATTGATCGTAAAATCGACCTGGAGTAGGTGGAACATACCCAAAAGCCAACCACTACAAATTTACACCACTACTACGACATCCTTAGTATTAGTCTTCCATCTTGGCCCATTTCAACTAAACCACCATTGAGGCATTCATTTGAATGCCCGCCCCACACTACGAGCTCCAACCTACTCCTGGGGGCTGAGGCCTGAGGTTGCCTAATTGGCAAGGCGCGTTGTAGTGTTGAGCTAATTTGGAATGTAAAATTAGTCAAATTTGTCCCAACCCCGTATTTGGTTTTATCTTGACTGGGTCTGGGTGTAGTCAAATTGCGCTTTGAATATGAAGAGAAAAAAAGAGCAAGATTTAGACCCCCGCTGGTAATTTTGACTTCAGAATGTGTTATAGGAATAGGACAACACTAAGTAAAGATGGTAACTATAAGCCACACACAAAATGCCAACAACAAGAATTGTGAAATCATATCGAAAGTTATAGCGAAAAGATTAATAATATATATTATAATCGTGTTTAATCGTAGTTCAACCATATCGGTCCAACTAACCAATACGGTAGGATTTCTCAAACATTTCCTGCAACAAGCCAAGTAGATTAGTGATGGCAATGGAGTGGGGCGAGACGGGTACCTCAATACCCATGCCCCGCCCCACGCTACTACGGGTCGCGGCGGGTAAAACCCGCGCGGATACGGGGCAGGGCGAGTTGACCCATTCTTATATGTTATATGAAAAAAACACAAGCAAATTTTACTTTTTACGATAAAACGAAAGGGAAAACACCTTATGAATGAATAATAGTGATAATAGAATGGTTAATTGAGTCTAACCAGTTGAAAGATAAATTCTAACTAGTTGAGAAAAAGTCAAAATAAGATAAATATGTACAAATGTTGTAAGAAATTGATGTAGGGCCAAGAACGGGACGGGGTGGGGCAGAGCGGGTCGGAACTAGATACCCATACTCCGCCCCACGATATTGCGAGTGGGGTAATACCCATCTCATCACGGGTCAGGTCGGATAATACACGCGAGACAGGTTCAAATTGTCATCACTAAAGTAGATGTTGAGAACAACCCAACCAAACCAAAGTGGTCGGTGGGTACCACCCACTCCAGCTCCAACCTATCCAGCTCTGCCAACTACCATTGTTTTCTAAGCTAAGATTACGGGTCGTTTGCTTCAAGGTTTTGTTGATGGATTTGGTGATGGACTTGCATTTATCATGGACTTTGACAAAAGTCTATTGTTTGTTTGATGGAATTGGAGGTAGTAAATCCGTGGGGGCCACAGAGTTTGGAGGTCAAAATCCGTGGACCCCACAGACTTGGAAGTTCCACCTATGGAGGTGGGAATTGGGTGATGGATTTAAATCCATGATGGCATTTTACTAGTTTATCCCTACTTATTTTACCTAATGACTAATCTACCCTTCCTTCTTTCCCGGTGGTGGCCTCCAACTCTTTGTCCTCAGTTTTTCATATAGAGCTATGAATGATAAAGGGACTCTCATGTTTGTTTCTTCTTGTCTCTTTCTTTTTTTGGACTTGTTTAACATTAATTTCTCGCATAAATTGTGAATTTCGGGCTGAAATTTCGGATTAAGCGTGGTGCTCGAGTTTGATCAAAAAATCGGGACATTTTCAATTGTGGTTGAATTTCACATCTTCGTCTACTGAGTCTTCTATTTACTCCTCTAATGATATTTCTAACACTTTATGCTCATCTTGTGCATTATTGCTGGATCGACAGTTGGATCCAAAAATTAGGGAGTTGTGTCATGTTCAAACTATTATGCATTTTTATATTTGTAATTGAACGAGTTCACAAAGTAGAAGTTCAGTTACTTTGTATGCATTAGATTTGTTTTTAAGGGAAATATAATTACATAAGTGTAACAAGGTAATTTGTATTTCATATCCACAAATCTAATCAAATAAAATTCATTATCAAATCCAACAAGCAAACAATAGACTTGTTCAAATCCATGATGCCACCAAATCCATCATATATCCATGGTTTTTCAAAACCTTAGTTTTACCAAAACCCTCATATTTAAAATCCACGAAGCAAACGACCTGTAAGTGAAGGATTAGCCATCCTTGAAGTAAACAAAGCAAGGTTAATCTTTTGTTACTTAAGTCGTTTGGTATTTGTTATTGTTAGAATTGATGTATTGTATGAATGCTTGCATTATAAATTGGTGTATTGTTTAAATGCATGTATTATAACTTATAAGATTACATTGTTTGGTAGTTGTGATTGTAATTTTAGGAATGAAATGAGAAAGTTACTATTTAAGTGAAAGGTCATGTTTACCCTTTCTTTTACATAGAAGAGTAATAAACAATGTATAAAAGTTGATAGGAATATAAAGGGAAAGAAAAATGGAAGAACAATCTCAACAATTTCACCAAATTGTTGAGATTGTAAATCATTCATATTGAATAATTTCAAGTGTCGCATCATCAATGAAATGCATATATTGTTTTTCATTTTGATTCAAAAAATGATACATTCTATACAATACATATATTCATTAAATACATCGTTTAGATACGCATATACTAAACGAAACCTTAATTTCAACCAGCACCCATTATAAATGGGGAAGTAATATTAGAATAATTAAGCCACAAGATTTTTTAACTGTTGCATACGAAAAAAACGGATTAGCTTTTAAACTCGGTTACTGTTCATAAACTTTTCTTTTATTGCCTACAGCCGTGTGTAGGTAAACACGTGTGAGCTTCATGGCGGCTGTCCAAGAATCTCCAATGCAGCCCGCCCTGTAATTTCTTAACCTGTGCATTTTTTCTAATTCACTCCATTCCCAATCCATTAGTGATGGACCAAATTCCTCCTTCATTCCATTCCCAATACATTAGTCATGGACCAAATACTATCACGATCAAGATTGAGATTGAGATGGAAGGAATGATAATATTTTGAACAAAAACTTTTTAGATCATAATGCGACTATCATATCACGATATTATTACTGATTGTGGTATGATGTTGATATGATAGTGATCTAATATGATATTGGTATGATGTTGGTATTATAGTGATATATATGATGTTATTATGAGATCTTATGTACAAAATAATTTTATGACATGGTTTTATTATTAAACCAAACACTACAAAATATTTATGTAACATCATTCTATAACGATTACGTAACTTAATACATTAGGTAAATCTTAGAGTGATAGTTATTTTTATGCAACAATTAAAAAAAACATACAATATAAGTCTAAATGAATAAGACAATACACAATAATTTTATGACATGGTTTTATTATTATACCAAACACTACAAAATATTTATGTAACATCATTCTATAACAATCATGTAACTTAATACATTAGATATATCTTAAAGAGTGATAGTTATTTCTTATGCAACAATTAAAAAAAAACACATACAATATAAGTCTAAATGAACAAGACAATACACAAACTTTTGGAGAAAATAATTTCTTATGTATCAATTGACCAAACATATCACATAAGTCTTTCACGTATGAAAATTCCTAAATTAGTTACTAAATTTTTTAGAATCTAATCAATTGCTTTACAAAAAGTTTTTTAAGGTCCATTATTTTTACATAACAAGTTAATCAAATGTGATACATTTTACATTCTTTTTCACAGATTATTAACTAAAGTTCTTTATTATTGCCTATTATATTCAAAATCTCCTCAATTTGCATTGCATGAATTAAAACTTTGGTAAAATAGTTGATATTATATAATATTTTAATCAAATGTGAGATCTGTAACTTGATTTTATTATTGGACCACACATTATGGAAAATTACGTAACGCCGTTCTATAACAGTTCTTCAAATACACTACATATGTAAAACTTATGAAGGTTGAAGAGATAGTTATTTCTTATGTATCAATCAAACAAACGCGTTACCTAGACTTCGGTAATAATTAAGATACTACCTAAAACTTATGAAAGTGATTTACTTGAAATATTTTGTGAATAATTTTATTTTAACTAAACAATTAAATAAATAGATGAAATTTTATTGTCGAAATAAATAGTTAGTTTATAACCGCCGCGAAGCGCGGGCCAAAAAACTAGTGTAAAAAAAAGGATAAACTTTGAGGGGCAAACGACGAGCTCCATTTATCGTTTTCATCTTTTTCCCCATCTTCCCCTTGTTTTATTCATTTGTCTGCGTTTCTTTTTTCCTTCTCTCCTCTCCAAAGAGAGCAAGGTAAGCACTGTTCAACTCTTTAGTAAGTAGTAGTGACTAGATTTCATTGAGTCATCCCATCATTCATTCCCCCAAGCGAGAACCGAACCTTCTCTCATTACTCATTAGTCATTTCTGCTTTCTCCCGGCACGCTGAAACCTCTCAATTCTTCTTCCCCTTCTTCTTCATCACTGTGTTCATCATAGATTTCCTCAAAAATCTGTCCGCCTGCTTGCCTTCTCATCCGACCGTGTTGTCCCTTTCTCACAGGTATCCTTTTATCCATTTCTCTCTCAATTTCCCCATCTTCTTCTTTCAAAGTTCGAACCTTTACTTTCTTTTTGGGTATCTTCACAGTGGTCTTTCTTAAACACCGGCTTAAAAAAGCCATCCTTTTCAGCTTCCCTTTCATGGGTTCCTTTTCTGATCCATGCTTTGTCTTTCGTGGCTGTGGTGGTTATGAAATCCAATTAGTCCTGCTTACAGTTCTAGGGTTCCCTTGTTTTTTTTTTGGTCTGTAGTGTTCATTGCTTTGCTGACCGTTTTAACAGTTTCATTGCTTCGACCCCTTCAAATGGGGATCCCAGGGTTGCAAATTTTGATTATTGACTTTGGTGGCTTGGTGCTGGTCTGTTGGGAAAAGTCAGATGCTTGGACTGTGACCAAATCAAACAAAAATAGAGTAGGACAGAGATTAAAGAAGAAGGCAATTGGAATTTTGTTTGGCATAGCTCTCTTTACCTTTGGATGCTTCCCTTGTTTGTTTTGACAGCTTCTAGGGTGTTATTTCCCATGCGCTGTTGAATTTTTTTGGCTTGAAGAAATTCTGTTGACCCGTCGATGAGCTCTTAAATTTGGGGTTTTATTCCGTTGATCTGGACTGTCTTCCTAATCATCTCTTGACTTTCCCTTGGTTGTTTCACAATTTGTAGGCTGGAGACTGATGTAGAAGGATTCATTTTGTGGATGTTCCTGAGAGATGTTTGATTGATCGATGGTGGCTCGTGAGTCTGCCAATCTGGTTGCATCTTGAATTTGGTATTCAAATTCTACCTCTTTATCTGTTGTTGCTATGGTGAGATGAAGAATGCTGTATAGTTGAGTGGGTAGCCCTGAAAAATCTGAGGTGGATATCATATTCTGTTCCAAACCTTCGTTTGAGAGAAATGGAGCAAAATGGAGGTGAGAGCTGGAAGGAACTGGTACGGAAAATGCTTCCGCCAGGTGCTTCTCTTCCTGAAGACGAGGCTAAGCTTGACTACTCCATAGCTGTAGAGTACCTTGGTCCTCCAATGCCTTATGAGGTCCCTAAGGTTGAACCTCTCGATGTCAGTTCCCATGGAATCCCAACTGCTGAGCCGCTCCAAGTCTCGAATGGATCAGCTGCGAATCTAGGCCCACCTGTGATCAACCCAATACCTTTGCCAGTATCTTACATTGCCTGTGTCACAGACTCCCCCGTCCAAAGTCCACGGGCATCAGCAAGCTCGGAGTCGGTAGTATCGGTTCTCCAAAATCGTGACTCTTCTTCAGCTTCAGCATCAGCTTCACCTGCATCAGCTCGAAACCCTCCAAATCAGACAGTGGCTAATGAAGCAAGGCGAGTGCCAGTAGTCAAGTTCAACACTGTTGATACCTCTAGCCACAGCAAAGGCTCGGATGCTGAGAAGTCAGTTTATCCCGAGTATGTAGTTGGGGTGTCAAAGGAAAAGAAGAAGCAAAAAAAGAGTAGGGTTTGTTATCGTTGTGGAAAAGGGAAATGGGAACTGAAGGAGTCATGCCTTGTTTGTGATGCAAAATACTGTGGCAACTGTGTTCTTAGGGCAATGGGATCTATGCCCGAGGGACGTAAGTGTGTCACCTGTATAGGTGAGCCAATTGATGAGTCGAAGAGGTTTAAGCTCGGGAGGCATTCCCGTGTCTTATCGAGATTGCTCAGTGCTTTGGAAGTTAAGCATATTATGAAATCAGAAAAGGAATGCTCTGCTAATCAGCTTAGGCCAGAGCAGTTGATTGTGAATGGGCTCCCTTTGAAACCGGAGGAGATGGCGGAATTACTTGGATGTCCTTTACCACCGAAGAAATTGAAGCCTGGTAGATATTGGTATGACAAGGAGTCTGGTCAATGGGGAAAGGTAATGCATTTGTTCTAGTTGGGATTCACCACTTATCAAGATGACCAGGATTTAAAATGACTATGATTATTCCATTTTACAGGAGGGAGAAAAACCAGATAGAATCATTAGTTCAAACTTAAACTTCACCGGTAAACTCAGCCCTGATGCGAGCAATGGCAACACTGAAGTCTACATTAATGGCAGAGAAATTACTAAGCTGGAGCTCAGGGTGCTTAAAGTAAGTATTTTCTTTTATTGATAGCTCAGTAGGATAATAGTAACCTATAGCTGAACTGTACAGACTAATCATGGACTGTCACTCTGTAGTTTTTGAATCTGAGTGTCCTGGTGTAGGATTGATTATTACCAGTGACTATGATACAGGATAATTTTAGAGAAATGTAGAAGGCTTTAGTTTGTCCTTAATGAATATTATATCTGTTCTCCAGCTGGCAAAGGTGCAATGTCCCCGTGATACTCATTTCTGGGTTTATGATGATGGCCGTTATGAGGAGGAAGGTCAGAATAATATAAGGGGAAACATATGGGAAAAGGTATATTTGCGTGAAACTCAAATTAACAAGATTTAGAAAACTGAAGTACTATCACTTGGTCATATATGAATTGTTGTGGGTTGCCTCTTGCTAGATAGGCATCAACCCGGTTTGTCTGCACGCTCTTCTCTTTGCCGGTTCCTCATGGTCAACCCGTTGGTCAGAGAGATGAACCCAGTGCTTACACTACACTTCCGAATTATCTTGAGCCGAAAAAAGTCCAGAAGCTTCTTCTCCTCGGACTCCCAGGTTCAGGAACCAGCACGATTTTCAAGCAGGTACAACTTCCGTTATTTTACTGATGAATGCTTGCTCTGTGCAATTGACTATTCTTGTTCCTTATGAAGTTGAAACTAGATTATCTCTTTCCGTGATAAGGAAGTACACAAGTCGGTCTACTGTTTGTGAGTTCGGGATATTGTTCCTACGACTGGAGCTGACATGTTCAAACTTCAAACCATACTAATCATGATGTGTCATTTTCTGCAGGCCAAATTCTTGTATGGAAACAGGTTCACTGTAGAAGAGCTTCAAGATATCAAGTTGATGATACAGAGCAATATGTATCGATATCTAAGCATCTTGCTCGATGGACGAGAGCGTTTTGAGGAAGAGGCACTCGCAGAGATGGAGACCGAAGATCGAGACTCTGAAGCTGGTAGGACTTGTATATAGCTAGTAAAGCAAAAGTAAAGAGCTGGTTACTATTAGTTATTTACATTTCAACTGTTCTTTCAGGTGGAGAAGCAGACTCGGTTGAAACCAACAACCAGTGCATCTACTCCATCAACCCAAGGTTGAAGCATTTTTCTGACTGGCTGCTCGACATTATAGCCACTGGAGATTTGGATGCATTCTTCCCTGCAGCCACGCGTGAGTATGCCCCGCTGGTTGAAGAGGTTTGGAAAGATCCTGCTATCCAGGAGACATATAAGCGAAAAGACGAGCTTCACTTCCTCTCAGATGTGGCAGAGTACTTCTTAAGCCGGGTTTTGAACCTTTCCCTTTGCTTCTGCAGCCAAGTAACCAGAGTATGTGATGGACTGTGATTACTGACAAACTTGCCATATAATGTTTGATTTTTCAGGCGGTCGAGGTCTCCAGCAACGAATATGAACCGACTGAGCGTGATATCCTTTATGCAGAAGGCGTCACCCAAGGAAATGGTCTAGCTTTCATTGAATTTTCACTCGATGATCGGAGTCCAATGTCCGAAGTCTACACTGATAATCTTGAATCTCTTCCTCTCACCAGGTGATCATCTTCTTCTCGTGATGTCCCTTTTCACTTTTAATCTTCTCAGTAATCTCATCAGCTTCACATGGCATCCTAATGTTTTAGGTACCAACTCATAAGGGTCAATGCCAAGGGTATGAACGAAGGGTGCAAATGGGTTGAAATGTTTGAAGACGTACGAGCTGTAGTGTTCTGTGTCTCCCTCAGTGACTACGACCAGGTGAGCTTATCACCATCCGAGGGCAGCGGATTGCTGCTCCAAAACAAGATGATGCAAACCAAGGAACTCTTCGAGTCAATGGTCCGCCACCCTAGCTTCAAAGACACCCCATTCGTGCTTGTGCTGAACAAGTACGACCTGTTCGAGGAGAAGGCGAACAAGGTCCACCTCAGCACGTGTGAGTGGTTCTCAGACTTCAGCCCAGTGAGACCCAACCACAACCAACAGTCCCTGGCCCAGCAGGCGTACTACTATGTAGCAATGAAGTTCAAGGACCTCTACGCGTCAATTACAGGGCGGAAGCTGTTCGTGTGGCAGGCCAGGGCGAGGGATCGGGTGACTGTAGACGAGGGCTTCAAGTACGTGAGGGAGGTGCTGAAGTGGGATGACGAGAAGGAGGATAATTACTTTGGTGGGCCTGAGGATTCGTTTTATAGTACGGATGTTAGTTCATCTCCATTTGTGAGGCAAGAGTGATACAGGGTGGTTTTGGTAACTGTTATGCCTTGCTAGTTTAGGGGAAAAGAGGTTAGGAGGAAAGGTAAAGGAAGGGAGAAGGTATTGGTAGTGGTTAATAAGGCTAACTGCTTAAAGTGTAATTGATGTCATTGTTGTTCCTGTTGTAATCCCAATCTCAAATGCTTGTGTCTTTGAATTGTAGCACATTAGGTCATGAAAGAAATAACCAGGGCCTGCATATTATCTGATCTGGTTCAGAAGCAAATAAGGAAAGACCATTTGAGGGCCATAATCAGAACAAATTAAGGACAAAATCGAATTATTAAGTGTTACATGTGGTCTAAGATGGTGGTAATCATTTCATCAAACGGTCTTTAACCTGCCATTCCTTACAGTAATTATTCTTTTCCTATCAAGCCTGGGACATTATTCGGACCAAAAGGGTCTCTGAATCTTCCAGTTTCAGCCATTCTCAAGTCTCAACCTAAACTAAACCTCGTATTGCACAATATGGCAACTCAGTTCTCTCATTCCAACAGTAGTATACATTTCGTTACAACAAATCGGGAGATACCCCCTACTGGATGCTCATTGCAGAAACACCTGATGTGATCCCCCGGCTTCTCGGATCACGACCTTCTAGACGAACGCCACACGGGTCTTCTCGTACTAACAATGCTAGAACATTATGCGAGCTCCAAGTTGCTGCGAGATTGCTGCTGCTAGAGCTCCCCAACGTCACAGCGAATACTGCATCAAACCCACCTGCACCCGGAACCCCAGCCAGCAAAACTCCTTCCATATTCATCGTAACATCCAATAGTTTGGTCTGGGATTCTGGCTCTATCTGCAAAATCACAGGCCAGGAAGCTGTCAAGCATAGACTCGGCAGGAGAAAAAAAAGTAGAAAAGATATGGCAGTTTCAACACGACCTGGTTAACCATTTTCCTGATGAGCTTATGAGTTGGACCATTGTCATCATTGTAGGAATTATGTGACGGAAAGGAAAAAACAGAATTAGCTTACTGGAACACCCGCAGCTTCTCCCATCTGGCGCATATACTTTCTGATCTCCAGCATTGCCTCTCTTGCCCCCAGTAATGCTTTAGCAACAGCTTCTTCGTTGGGGTCAGCAGCTTGCTCCAACCACTGTAATACAAGATTCATATCATGCTTAAACAACTAATGATAGACAATCCTATGCATAACCTTTTATGGCTTTCTAAGTGAAATGAAAAAGCAAGCTGCTGGGATACCTTGTCATTCTTTGTTGTGCTGCAGCTGTCTATCACGGACTTATATGCAATCCAATGCTCTTGTGCAAGTTGGCTTAAAGCTTTAAGTTGTCTTTCCAGCGCTGAATTTGCTGCTGACAATATCCTCCACGTTTCTTGAGACTTCTGTGGATCAGCTTTCTGCCACTTTCTTACTGCACCTACCATCGATGGGGTGGATGATCCTCCAACTCCTGGTTCCCCAAGTAGCTTCACAAAAGAATCACGATGATCATTTTGAAGGTCAATACAATGAACATTTACTGTGCCAGAATGCTTAAGCATTCAGGCTGAACTATTTTAACTCATGACACCCTAAAGATTGCCATGAATGCAAGAATCGACAGGTAGAGCCAACGATGTGGATTGCGTCAACTATGGGCATTCTGCAAGAGATTTTCCTATTTCATCGATAAAACATTGGTATCATCAGATTTGTACGCTGGGCAGATAATGATGTCTGAAAATACAGTTCACAAGTGCATTCGCAATATACAACTAGCACCAAAATGGTATGTCTGAAAATACAGGTTCACACGAGCATGCACAAAATACGAATAGCACCAGAATGATGTATGTATGAAATACTTTACCAAGGTCATCAATGGAGGCAAAGAGAACTTAGTCCTCTCATGATCCCAATTTCCTCTCAGAATATCAACTATGACTTCCTGTAATGGCAAACCTTTCACTGCATCCTAGAAGACAGATGTAAAAGTAAGGTGGACAATCTCATTGAAAATCAAGGATACCACTGTAAGATATAGACAATTCACATTCATCCTGTTTGGCTGTGTGTGTGTGCGTGTGTGCGCGAGAGAGACTGAGAGAGAGAGAGAGAGAGAGAGAGAGATAAACCTGAGCAGATGAAAGCACAGAGGAGGAGAAACGGACATATCGCTGGCTACCATAAACTGCAGAACTGACATCGAACCCACTGCCAACTTTGCCTTGGGCAATACAATGAGCACTTTGAGCTATAATATGAACCAGATCAAGATCTTTAGTTTCCTTATCGTTGGAGGAAGAAAGGTCCACTAGTCCAAAGTACTTGAGCAGAGCAGCAACCACAGCAGTGGTCATTGCTGCAGATGAGCCCAGCCCGGTCTTTGCAACTTCAGGCTTACACTGTTGACCACTTGCATCATCCTCAACATTAAAAGTGATTGACTTGAAAGGAGTGAGTGCAGCCAGTGACTCTGGCGTCAAAGGGAGACCACGTGATTCTATCTGAAATCCAAGCAATCAGGTCATTCGATAAAGTCTTCGAAGCAGAAAGAGATGAAAAAATCAGGAGGAAAGTTGCTACGCCCAGAAAGGGGGAAAGATTCTTTCAAAGGCTATGCATAGAAATGAAACAGAACTACACCAACCAAGAGAATGGAACAAATACCTGGCTTCGGTATGAATAATAGTCATTACAACCCAAAATTGTGATGTCAAGACCTACAAAGAGCAATGAGATTCAATACTTTGGGTTCTTGATATCCAGTCTCCCGCGGTTTTCGCAAGAGAGGAAAATCAAACAGAGGACATCAGGAGGATTCTCAAGCATCATACCTTGCAAGAGTAGCTTGTTTAAGTCATCCTTCTTATTTCTATCAAAGGTAGCATTTGCAGCAGCGACAGCATATTCCACCGCATGTTCAACAAATGGATTTCCCGAATCACTGGAATTGGAAGCAGCAGTAACAGCAGAATCCATTAAATCCAAAAGTTCATCTCCATATTCCCCTTCTTTCCAAGATAACCTTGAATCACTAAAGAAATCCAGGAAAAAAGACTTGCCTGGAGGAGACACGCTGAAGATTCAGATTCTTAAGGGACAACTTGTACATGCTCTCTCTGTTGAGCTGGGGAGAAGTCAACTTGACATCAGACCAAGCCTGGCAACAGCAACAACAACAGAAAAGATCCTAATGAGCATTTACAGAGATCACAAGTCGCTGGAATTGGAATCTAGGAATCAATCTAGTTTACGGCAAGCAGTTCATTCCTCAACGCATCAAATTACATCGTCGCCAATCGAATTCGGTTCAGGAACTCAAAAATTCAAATAAAGATAGACAAAAAGCATCGAGGCGGGAACTCACCCAAGCCCAGCTCTCAGGACTGAGCTGATCGAAGAGAGGTTTAACAATGGCGTAGAATCTAGCGTTGGTGCTCAGCACGATCCCAGCATTGGGCCTCTCCAGTATCAAATAGCCGCCAGTCAGCAACACTTTCCCGGGAGCAGAAGCAACTCTGTATCACCATGGCACAGCACCGAATCGTATCGGAAGCGATCGCAATAGTCACTTGAGTGGAGAATGAAAAAAGCAAAACGTTAAGAACAAAGGGAACGGAACTCACACGGCCATCGTTTTCAGCCTAATCTGAAATTCCACCGGAGTTACCGGTGTCAGCCTTCAATTCGCTTCGAAGGAAGATAGGAAACAGTTGATCGGAGCAGAAGAGGAATGAAACAGTTGCAATTTGCAAATGACGAGGAGTGTTGCCCACCTTTAGCAGCGCCTTCTTTTGATTTATAACAATTGTAGTTAGTTGGACAGAGCTACTACTACTGTCTGCCTCACCGCTAGAAATTTTGGCAAGTAGTCAAACCACGCCAGCTCTACTTAAAGAATACTAAACCAACTTCAGTATTCAAATGAGGAACTAGGATCAATCTAGATCTTGAATTCATGATGCACCAGCCTTTGATTATACATTGATTCTTTCTATTCAACCACGCAATTCTAATTTTGAAATTCACCCTCTATTTCCCTATATACTATAATTCAAACAACGGGTTGTGTAACACACTCCCGCGAGAATGAGTCATGTTCCACGATCATGTTTCTGCCGATTTGTACAGGTTAAATCACAACCGATACAATCTTCAATATCATCGATGTCATAGATCGAAACTTGTCGTCCTAAAGACTATTGCAAGGATACATCTCGTAAACATCCTTCAAATTTGATCAATGTTGCTAATTCAGGATTTAGAAGCTCACGTTTTGGAGCGTAACAGATCTTTCTCAATGGAGAATACATGAGCAGCAACACTAGCCAGCAATACATTTCTACTTCTACAGAACAACCAATTATACTTTGCCTAGCTAAATGCAGAGTATTGTGCTCCCTCATAACGCGTCAGAGAAGGGGCGCCTTACCAGAAGTCCAGAACATGCAAACAGCAAACGCCATAATCTCACAGACAAAAGGTGGTGAACGTAAAGACTTAAAAGATTAAAGCAGTAGCCTTCAACTGTTTCAGAAATGAAATGAAATGCAATGCTAATTTGGGTAACAAACACCTCTGCGGAAGACAATGCCATCAGTTCTAATGTCCTCTGGTCTTCCCACCACACAAGTGAAGCCGCTAATAAACATAAGCTCAAGTTCAAAAGGCCACACGCAGAGAGGTGATCGCGACCCCGTTTTCAAGAAACTGAGGTGCAAGAGGATTGTCCAAAAAAAAAGGAAACAGTACATAGTTGCCTTGTCTGTCTGTTCAAGCAAAGCAACCTACCACTAGTCTCTCCCTTTCCTCAGCACACTATCAAGTACGTACAAATGGGACAGAAATGCAAATCAAACAGACCCCCACCAGAAGAGAAAACAGCCCACCCTAAGGATTTATGAAGCTACCAGATCAGGCGTTTCAGCTTCGATGGACAACAATGCTGTGTGCACTTTACCCAACCAGCCATCCAGACGATCTCGCAATGACGTGATTTGTGGAATCCCAAGAACACGCGGTTGCACCCATGACACATACACTGTCCCTTCCACTTGGTCAATTATACCCTCAATCAGATGAACCTGCAAATTATGAAACCCAGGTTCAAAATACTTGCATGGAAATGACCTAACTAATCCAGTGTCCTGAATTTTCCCAACCTATGACACAACTCCTTTAAGTTAAACAGGCATACACATGTAGAAACCAATTAAACAATTTGTATTCGGATAACAACCAAAACATATAGATATGTAAAATATCTAGTCCTCTATGTTTGGATTTCATAGAAGTGAACAGGAAAAACTTACAGAGAGACTCTTCATCAGGAGATGTTCCACCTCTTCAATTGAGAGGTTTGTACGCTCCGCAATGACCTTCATTGGAATGGTCCGATCTTCAGATGGGCGACTGCAAATATGACATAGTCAATAGCAATCAGGAAAAGTAGCTAAGTAGGTTCAAAATTACCCGACAAGTAAAGACAGCCCAAGTGAAAGTAAGAGCATATACCTAAAGATGATTTCCATAAGGCACAGAATGTTTATCTTTTCCAGGAGCTTGTTCTTGTTTTCAACTAACGCTGGTTGAGATCTCAGTGCAGACTCATGCACATGCCATAGTTCTTGATACCGAACTAAATCACCAGCATTAAATGCTTGGAGAATATAGTACAACCACTCCACTTGTGTTCCTAGCAGACTCTTTATCTGCAGCAATATTCAGGATATATCATCATAAAAGCCACATAACAGAGAGAAGGGGGGAAAACAAGAGCCACGCACAGCAAATGGTAATATCAAGAACAACTGCCACCTACTATTGAACAATCGCATGTTTATTCTATTTTAGTCAAAAGGACATACCGATATGTAATGTTCAACATGGATTTTATTTCTCTTGGGACTACTATCATTCAAATGAAAAAGAAACCCTATCACAGCCTCCAAAGTCGTGGCACGATAGCATTCATTAGTTATTCTAACTTTCAGAAACAAACAAAGCATTAAAACTCTTACAATAGGATGTGCAAGCAGCTCTCCAAAATTGTAGATGTTATCTCCCAGAAGCGCTGAAAGAGACAGATCAAATGCCAAATCCTACAAGCGAGGGTGGGAGAGATAGTCAGCACTTATAACAAACATTCCAGTAAGCTATAAAATGGTTGACGAAATTGAAACAGAAATCAATAATTCTCATGAAAGAAATAAACAAAAAAAGTAACTGAATAGCCACTGAATTAATCTAGTTCCTGAGCTTGAAATAACCAACAATTAGAAACAATATATCAAGAAACCTTTAAACATACGAAGGTTATCCTGGTTGGCTACAGCTGAACATGTTTATGTTACTTACAAAAGCAGAAGAGGGGACTAATAGTCATCAAATTCAAAACTAAGTCGAGGATGATATATTAAATTTCTTCCTTGAAAGAAGTAGAGCTGTAACATGGTCTCCACCTCAACTGACTTGATATGCCATGCTTTCTTCCCAAATTAAAGACAGTTAAAACTTCCTTGTAGATGCTTCACAAATAAATTGATGATTCATACGAAGAGGCAGTTCTCAGTTAAAGTATAAAAAAACTACCCAGTGCAAGCTTTTTTACCTACAAGACTGAATTTGATAACAGCAGCTCCAAAGCAACAAACCACTCAGTTTATGCTAGCTTAACCATACACAATCAGCTAATGTCAAAGAAATTAAAGACCTGTTTCAGGGCTATAAATAAAATTGAGTGCTTACGATCACTAATCCACACGTATGTTTGAAACTACTAAGTTGCACCTTATTAGAGTCACATTAATTAGAGTCCACAAGGTTGAAGAAATAGCTTAGCAACTCACACTAAGGTACAGACATGAGCACAATTATCTAAGTAGCATTCAGCAATACATATTGGTCCATATGAGCTAACTTTCAGGAGATGCAATGAACACTAGGACTCTTCCTCATAGACAGAAGGTTTCAGTTGGTCAAACTACATTATGAGATGCAATTAGGAGTCGGTTAAACAAGAAGATTGGAAATACAAAACTTAAAACACTATTTCTACTTCAGAGTTAGCGCCATATCCCGTGTATCACAATTCTCAAGCCTCAATATCAAAGAACATTCAAAGATTTTGGTTAAGGATCTATTAAAATCAAGTGATTCTATCCCACCAATAAGCTAAGTTAAAGAGAACATACCAGCTTGAATGAATCAGAGAGGGACTCCACTGATGTGTATGCCAAATACAGAAGTGCGCTTCTGTAGAAATCAGCAAAGTCTTGGCGGTACTTATGGAACTGTGACGAAACCCAGTAATAACTGGCATACACTGACGGATCAATGTCAGTCATGCTGTCCAGTGTACTCTTCCCGTCTTCTAGAAGCTTCTTGCACTCCTTTTGATCACCTTGCTCAAGCTTAAATATGGCTACCTGCATCTTAATATAAAGTATCGGCTCCTCTATACGTGACTCCCTAGTCGCCTGGAGCTTTTCAATCACCCCATCAAGATACCCAATGGCAGCCTCTTTCTCTTGATACTGACGGGAAACAACGACTGCAAAGTGGGCAAGCTTAAGGAGATTGATCTTTGTCTCAAAATCCGTGATGAAGTTGTGATATAGCTGTATGAGAGCATCGCCAGCCTGCCATTTTGAAGAAACGAAAATGCATCAATTTAAGGGGAAACGAATCAGAAGCTAAATCACTATCAAAGATACATAATCCCAAGGGACATGAAACCTAATTCCCTAAAGTTCAGGGACCAATTCGACTTGAGTAGACTTCAACCTCAGAACACAATCCTCAATTAAGAAGCACTGAAACAGACAGCGCCACATTCAACTCATCGAACATCGAACACAAAAAGCTCACTAGTCCACTCGAGCAGAGAATGAAGAACCCTATACAAACCACCACCCACCCAAAAAAAATTGGCAGCAAGCAAATACGGCAACAATTCCTCCATGAAGATCTGCAAACCCTAACCGACATACAGCAACTTCCGAACGCCGGATTGAAGGGGGAAAATGCAGCGGAACAGTCATAGAGACACAGCAACACAGAATTCAATCAGGGAAAGGGGGGTCTTGGAATGAACGGCAGCGTGAAAATCAAACCTGGAAGACGGCGAGAGCAACGAATTGCTCGAGCTTGAGAGTAAGCTGGTGCCATAGCTTCTTCTGGTACAGATCCGCCAGAGAGGTGTACCACTCCGCAAGCTCAGGTTGGGCGTTGCGCTGAGACTCAAGGTACTGTAGAGCACTCATTGCGATGGCCTGGTGCTTTCGGGCGATGACGGAGGGCAGTCTTGTAGACGAAAGGGAAATCGTAAACCCTCTCTCCCTCTTTCTTCAACTTCAGCTCCTCTTCTTCTCTTTTTCCCTTTTCCTTTCAGTAAAATAGAATTTTAATTTATTATTTTGTTTCGTAGGCTCAACGAAACGAATCGGACAGGTCAATACTCAAATGATCACTATACTTGAGGTTGCTAACAAAACAGCCACTGGACTTTTTTTTTAACAAAACTAGAGATTCAGTGGTTTTCTCAGACTTATTGACTCTAAATGAATATATATAAGGCAAAATCCCAAAATCCCAACCCTTTCCTCCCAAGGCCAAGGTATCCTCTCATTCTCCTAGTCAAAATAGACTTTCCTTCGCCAAAATGAATAATAAATATTATTATTGGAACAATTAATAAATCAAACTGCCTCTTGGTACAAGTAGGAAAAGAGAAAGCATAGAGGAATAAAAAATACAAATAAAATATTGCTGTAATAGTCTAATCCATTCCCTTGAAACGGTGAACTAATATTGTGTATCAACTATCAACAACCAAATTGGGGATAATAACGAGGAACAATTATGTACACAGCTTATCCTTGAACAGCAGCATGTCTCAGTGAGATAGCAGAACACGGATTGGATCTCTAATCACTGTTGAAAGCTTTGGATTATTGAACTCGACATGGTGTTCGAGTTTCTTAACAGGCTTTGGCTTAAAAACGAGCTAACGTTAAACGTAACTCATCATCGTGGAAACCCAATAGAATCTTAATCGACTTATTTAGGAAAATCCAATAGCTCTTTTTTGGGGGGTTTTGTCAAGAACTAGTTGACTCTAATAACTCGAATTGTTAGGAGAGGTTCCACAATGAATCTTATACTACACATTAATAGTTTTCTCCGAATCCGACAAAAAAAGATAATAAGTTTGGTGTGGTTTTGTTATTTTAAGTATCCACACTCACCCAAATATTTGTTATAGATTTATAACTATGTTCTAGATTTATTCACTTTAACCGTTTCTTCATTCATATCACTAAAACATTAGAATTATATTAAACGCCTCAAATCTTATTCATTTTCCTCGCAAAATTTTAATTATGAAAATAATGAAAATGGTTATGATTTTAAAACCGTGATTCCGGTGTGATTTTTAGACCCGCCCGAAATGGAGCTAGTGGTTGGTTGGGTTTTGCTTGGTGGTGTGGGCTTTACACCCTCTTTAGTTGCATTCTCTCCATGGGCTTATTGCCCAAAACGATTCAATTCACTTGCTACTTGCTAGGTCAAAGCCCCTTTTGGACATTGGAATTAGTAAAATGATGAAGAGGTAGCTTGAGGAGGAGTAGATGACCAACTTGATTTTACTCCGTAAAACCAAATCATCGAAGACTTGATTAATCGGAGTGGTGCCCTAGATCCCAACTAAATTAAACCCGCAGGCGTATCTAATTGTCTGCTCAAAGCCTCAAACAGTGAATTTAATTGTAGGGCTCGTGTGTCAATTAGTCTGGCAATCACTCTAAATTAAATCATCCACGATCTAATCGTCACGAGGTTTAAAATTTTCTTTCTGCATTATAATTGGATCAATATAAACTATTATGGAAAATTCGGGTAAATTGCAGGTTTGGTGAATGAGATTGCAAATTTATTTCATGTTTGTTACTTACAAAATTTTTATATATAAGTGGTCACTTAGATTAGTTCCATATTTCAAGTTTGCTCTCTAGTTGTAACCTTTAGTTAGTCTTCAACTTTTCATTAACAAAGTTTTTTTTTCTGACATGACTAACAGAAATGCCTAATCACCTAATTTTTTCTCGAAAAAACCTATAATTGACCTGCCATGCCGGAAACCCCATCTTAACACGTAACCCGACCCACGTCACTTCCACAATTCCACACACTTTGCAAGCAGATTGGTTGGGGTTTATGACGTGGCAGGTCGGGCTTAAATTTTTTTGAGTTAAAATTGAGACACTATACATTTTTGTTAGCCACGTGCCCACGTCAACTAATAACATACTTCGTTAATGGACGGAAGTTGATGATCAATAACCAAACTTGAAATGTTGAACTAATCTTATCACTAATAGAATAAAATTTTTTTTTTTTTTTTTGATGCGAAATCAAAAAATTGCATTAAGCTCAGGCCACTAGCAGAGGAAACCTGCAACGCCTCTCAAACTGTTTACAACTCAAAGAAAAAATACTATCAACTCCTATCCACTATTAATTCTATCTATTTCTAACTGTAGAGCAGAATCCTCACAAACTCGGTAAGCTACTTCCTCACGTATCAGCTGAACCAACATAGCAGGGTCTTTGATCCCCCGTTCCCCATACATTCTAGCACACCTTTCCCGCCATATATGACTTACAGCAGCACTCCACAGGGCACGACAGACACGATTTTTGTCAGTCTTCTTCCTCCATGTCCTTGCACACCAAGTAACCATATCTTCCCAACTCCCTACTATCGGTGGAGCCAGTTCCTGCATACAGAGTCTCAAAACAGCACAAGTATAAGCACAATGCACCAATAAATGATCTTTACTCTCAACTCCTCCTCGACACAGTAAACAGCATCCAGAAACAGCCTTCCCCCATGCCAGGAGCCTATCCTGAGTCACCAGCCTCCCATGTATGGCAAGCCATAAGATCAAACCATGCTTAGGAATGATTTCTTTTTCCCAGACAAGCCTCCACCATTGCACTTCTGGCTTCTTCTCTCTGATATCATTCCAGACCCTAGAAACTGAATATCTTTTCATTTTCTCACCTTTCCAGAGAATAGTGCTACCAGAACCAGTAATGAAAAGAGCAGCTTTCTCCCTACATTTCAGAATTCTCTTCCAGACCCATGTACCTGCAGAACCCTGTGATATATCCCATACACTTCTGCCCTTCAGCCTATACCTGGCTATCCATGCAACCCAGATTGATCCTCCCAGAGAGAGTATTTCCCACAAATGCCTCATTACACAAGCCCTATTCCAAGCACCAAAATTTTTGATCCCAAGGCCACCCTCTAACTTTGGAACAGCCAGCTTATCCCAGGCCATTACAGCCCTCTTACGACTACCATCCTCTGCAGAATCCCAGAGAAAAGCATTACACAGCCTGCCCACTTCCTTGATAACAAACTGAGGCAATAGGAAAATATTGAGCCAGTATTGGAGATTACTGGATATAACTGAAGTGATAAGCTGTATTTTTCCTGCATAACTGAGCAATTTAGATCTCCAACTTCTTAACCTTTGTGTTATTTTGTCAACCAGAACCTTGCAATCTTGCCTTGTAAGCTTACCTGTTATTAATGGGACAAATAAAAAAATTGTAAATGCCGAATGTGAAACAAATATATTAGTAATCTCAACGATCAAACATTCATTTTACCCAGTGAAATTTGGTAAACATCCAACCAAAAGCAAGTCTCAGAATTGATAATCGCTTCACCGCACAAATGGAACCGGGAAAAAAAATTATGCAAAATTCGGTAACATCCAATGGATAATTTTAGCGAATGAGGATAAAGTAATAAACCAACTTATAATAATAACTTGAGTTGTTGAGAGAGGTTCGTGTATGAATCTTAATCACTTTTTTACACATCTGCTCAAACGAAAACCAACTCATGTGTTTCGAGTTTCCACATGCCCCCTACCATGTGTTTTAAGATAACGGTTAATATTGGGATCGTGAGGACTTGAACACGTGATTTTAAAGGCCACAGGCAAAGCTAGAGTGTTAGAGGGTCGGGAGGAAAATTGATAAGTTAGTTATAATAATTCATTTAGAATAAAAATTAGGGCATATCTAATTGAAATGATTGAACTTACAAATGCTTGATGTATAATTTAAATATTTTATTAGTATATTCAAAATTCTATAACGAGCTATGTACAAAAAATAATGATGCATATGATCTACTGAAAATTAAAGGTGAATTTATTCAATATTAATAACAAAATTTTCACAAAATTTTAGTTAATTTGTAACAAAAAAATACACTATGGAGGTGGAAGATTGTCAGAGGGTGGGCCAGAGGAGGAAAATGGGTAAATTAGATATAAAAATTAATTGAAAACGAAAATAGAACCCGTCTAATTGAGAATCGATGACCGAGTGGTCTTGTATTTGAACCTTTGGCGAGCTCGTTTTTTAAGCACATGATAATCGAATGTGTGAAAACTTCAAGTCCATCTAAGTGTGTTTTTATTTGAAGAAGTGTGTTCGTAAATGGTATAAGATCAATCATTTCATCTAACCCTACAACTCCAGTTATTGATAAAATAACCAGTTCTTGACAAAGCGTGTCATTCGGAAGCGAACGGTTAACTAAATCGTAAATAATTTTATGTACATATAGAGTAATATTTTCATAGTTTCGAACCATTGTATTTTAATTTATTAAAAAAATTCAATATAATATTAAATCAGGAATGATTAAAAAGGTTAACAAAAACAATTTTTTCATGCATATTTTTCTTAAAATGGACTTACCCTAGACGAATTCCTGACTACGCTCTTGTTAAGGAAAATCAAACACTAATACTATGGTATAAACCCACCGATCCAATAACCCGAGTTATTGGAATCAAAAGATTTATGACAAATGATATCGTTTGAAATTATTTAGTTCAAATCAAAAGGATCAACAAAAGTTCGTCTCCTACTTAATGTGATACAATGTATGTACATGGTCAACACGTAGAATGAAGTAACACACATGCATATGCTTAGTTCTGATCATTCTAGAACAAGCAAATGTGAATTAGTAACTATATATATATTGCCAATGCCAGTTGTATTGAGTGACTAGTTCTTAGAGTTATGCCATCTCAGCAAGTGTTTAGCTAGCTGTTGAATTAATTGGAAAACAATGGTTTAAAATTGACGTATACCACCTACATTTGATTTTTCTATTTTGTGCACGTCACCAACAAACAAGTAGAAGTAGTACAAGTCTTGAAGCAACTAGTGGGATACGGGAAACAAACTCCAAGCTAGTAATTGCAATCTTCCAACAAATGGAATATTGAGATTCACATTGTCTAAGTTAATTAATCCTCTTGGACACCGCTAATTATC